ATTCTGAGCCAGGCTAGAGCACATCTCAATTTGAGTGATTTTCTTCAAACCACGACCGTATCCAACCCAGTTCAACCATTGACCACGGACCCTTAATCTTAAATAAGATTGAAGAGCCACTTCCTGAAGTCTTAGGTGAATTGGAAGGACACCAAGTAGGGTTTCTAAGGCCGCAGTCGGAGTAGTCGGAAGAGCACCAGTGACCATGCGGAGTGCAAGCCCCTGTACCCTCCGAAGCCGATCGCAGAATTTTTTATTGGTCGCGGGCAGCCAGACCATCGCAGCATACTCCATGGCCGGCCGAACCACCGCCTTGTAAATCCAGAGACTAGCTTTTGGACCAAGACCCCAGGTAGGGCCCATACCCCGTCTGCACTGCATTAGAGACACGGTGGTTTTCCACGCCTTCGTATCGCAATGCAGTCTCCAGTTCAGTTTTGAATCTAAAGTGACCCCAGATAGGTACAGGAGCCACTGTATTCTAGTTTTTTCCCCTCCAAGGTGAGAGGTTTCAGTCTGAATTTGCGCTTGTTCGTAAAAAGGACTACCGAGGACTTATCATTGAGTGACAAGCCCACTCCGCGACTCCAGCGACCTGCAAAAGACAGAGCCTGCTGTGCCAAATCACGAACAATGCTTAGATCAAACCCAGAAGAGAGCAGCGCCACGTCATCAGCATAGCCCTGAGTGTAGATACCAGGAAACTTCCCCATAAGTTCGGTTAACAATTCGTCAACGGCCAGATTCCAAAGGAGAGGCGAGAGGACCCCACCTTGAGGGCAGCCCTTCTTCACCCTCCTCGAGAAGGTCCGACCGTAAGTGACAAATTCCACCGACCGAGATGTAAGCATATGGGAAATAAAGTTGCAGCATAATGGATGGATATTATGCCGCTTTAGACCAGAAAGCAAAACATCAAACGGGGCCTCGTTAAAAGCCCTCTTGACATCCAGAAACACACCCAAAGTGCTCCCACTGGATTTAAGGGACCTTTCAATACCAGCCACGACGTTGTGCAGTGCATCCTCTGTAGAAAGACCACTCATATATGCAAACTGATGACCTCTTTTAAGCCTCTCCACCAGAGCGGAGGACCTAATATGGTCATCAATCAACTTTTCAAGTGTTTTAAGTATAAAGGAAGTTAGTGAGATGGGCCTCCATGAGGAAGCCCTTTCATAACTGTCCTTCCCCGGCTTTGGGATGAAAACCACCCTCATTGTACGCCATCTTCCGGGCATGAAGCCGAATTTAAGGCAGCCACAGAAGATAGTTTTTAAAGAAGGGACAATCAAATCTAGACCCCACTGCAGTAGTGCTGAGAAAATCCCGTCACCACCGGCAGCCTTAAATGGGCTAAAGGATTTGATCGCCCGCTTGATTTTGGATTCAGTCACAATTTGTTCAATCAGCTCAAGATCAGCTGAAGGCTCGTGACTGTACGACCAAATAATTTCACGGGAATCATTTGGAAAATTTTGCTCCAGAAGATACTGAGCCGTTTCAGACAAGGACTTGGTATAAACCCCGGAGCCCTTGTCCAGGCAGCCCAGTTTAGCGATGGTGTCATTACGAAGCAACTTAACTAATCTCGAGACCGGATGACAGCCGTCAAGATTTTTAACATATTCACGCCAGGATTTCCGCTTAGCAGACTGCATAGCCGCATGGTACTGGGCCCTTGCGTGTCTGTAAGCTTCCCAGCTTTCATCGTCCCTTTTAGCAGCCCTTTGTCGTTTTCGAGCCTCCTTGCGAAGACCCGTCAGCTCTTTGGATCACCAAGGTACAATTTTGTTCCTATGTCGAGGTTTGATAAGCTTTAATGGACACGCTATTTCAAACGCGCCCATCATCGCATTTGTCAGACAATCAACAGAGTTGTTTAGTGATTCAGTTGTCCGAGTGTCAATCAAGACCCTCTGCATATTAATGCTAAGGGCCTCTGGATACACTGACACATTTGTAGCCCTACTGTTGCGAAAGGAAACAGGAGGAGGTGGACCCACTTTAAAGCGAGCCCTAATATATCGATGATCCGAAGAGGAGTCCTCCCGATCAACCCACCAGTCCGTACAGGTGTACGCTAGGTCAGCTGAAATGAGAGTAAGATCCAGAACCTCTGATCTCGATTTTGTGACAAAAGTAGGCTCGTGCCCCTTGTTAAGGACCTGCAAATTGGTGCAGCCCAAATAATCAAGGAGCTCCAGGCCTCTTTCATTGCAGTTAGTACTGCCCCATAGAGTGTGATGAGCATTGGCACACCCTATTAAAATTGGTAACCTTTTGCTTTCACAATAAGCCACCAGACTTCTCATTTTAACCGGAGGACATATAAGTAGCCCGTCCATGTAAACAGATGCAACCACCAGAGGACCCACACCTTTCCAATGTGTAAGCCCAGCAGCCACATCTCTGTCGCAGTATTCAATTAATGGCGTAAGCCCGACCCCAGGACTTGTTATTATACAAGCCCTCGGAGCCAGACCATCGTTAGCGTGATGGAAAAGATTACCTACATCTTGGAGACCACAAATTTTTGAGCCAACAACATGAGGTTCTTGGATTGTGCAGAGGTACGGGACTGTGTGCAGCTTACTAGTAGTGAGCTTTTGTATTAATGACAAAGACCCGGCTCTAGAATGCTGCAAGTTAATTTGCAGTAAGTTGAATCCCAGCTAACGCTTTTTGACAGCCATGCCAGAAGCACAACTGCCTTGCGGATTGAGCCTTTCATCAACTATACCGCCACGTGCCAAGTTACGTGGCTTCAGCGGAGGCGGAGGAAGAAGAAGATTGGGTTGTTACCCCTGCAGAACTCACCGAGCGGACCTTTACAAAATGAAAAGCCAGACGCTCGTAATAATAGTAGAGTTTTTTAGATGAGCATAGCTTAGCACTAGTCTCATCCATCCACACGATCAGCACATGCCCAGGGACCCCGAAGTGATGAGCCTTAATTCCTGATTCAACTCTACTCGCAGTGTTTGGGAACTTTATTAAAATCTCGAAATTCACAATTATAAGTACTACACACATCTATCGGGGACCAATCATCTTAATGTTTGAAATCGTGGAGAGAAAACCATTCAACATGAGATATAGGTTTGATCACAAATTCGCCTATGCCTGCCGATATGCCACGAGAGGCTCCACCACAGCGGTGGATCGCGCTATTTCACACTGTCATAAATTAGCGCGACTTTCTTTATATATGCATGAGTTTTCCTGGTCACGTTTAGCCTCAATAGGAGATAACGTTATGAGCCTCTTAAATTTCGTGAAACAATATTCAGTTCAGGTCACGCTAAATCTTGCATTTGCTAGAATGACTAAGGGTATTGGAAATGGAACAAGCGAGGACCTAGTGATTGCGAAATTAGACTTCCCAAATCCTTATGAATTTCCCATCCCAGATCCTTATATAACTGGTGAGTCTATACTTCTGTTAGATGATTGGTCACTCTCCTTCGTCACGTGTTCCTCCTTAAGTCATGATCATGTCGATTATTGGGGGTATTTGAAGCCTTTCAAGGCATCTGTTTGGTACTCCTTATTGGCATCCTGTCTTGTCGTAACGCTTCTCCTCATTTGCCAGAACTTTTCGAAATACAAAATGATTCTCACTTGGTCGGAATTAGGATTCATGATTCTTAAGGCAGGGCAGGACGTATTTCTTGCCGCCTTTGAAGGAACTGGTCCCACCCTCCGGGTAATGTTTAAAAGTTCCGCTTCTGAGAAAATGATAGTTGTTTGGGGGCTGATGACATTCGTGTTGGCGAATACGTACAAGAGCATCGTCACAGAAGACACAACGGAACCCTTTGTGTCCAACCCGCCAAGAAAGTTTGACGAGCTAGCGAACGGCCAATTTCAAATATACAGCAGCCCGATAGTAGCATATCATAAGAGTTTTGCCGTACCCGTAACACTCACGAAATATCGCGTAGGAGTTAGCGAGTTTGACGCTGAAATCTATACACTGTTTATGACATGGTATGACTCCTTTACGTCGGATTTGGGTCGGGTGATACTAATCCTTTTAAATCAATATGGATGCCAAACCATGGCAGATGCTACCCCATGGTATTATACACCTATCCTGTCTTTGATTAGACCATCAGAAAATCATGCCAATCAGGCGACCCGATTTCGGCAAGAGTTTGCAAAGAGTCTGGTTGGCAGAATTGCAGGAATATCTCAGGTTACAAATGCCTCTAGTGTTTCCACGATTGTGGGAAAATGTGAGAAAACCGCGTTCGTCGCACCATCCGTTTACATAAAGTCGAACAGATTCTTGCTCTCTATTTTTGGCGGCAAGAGCTCCCACTTAAATAGGAAACCGTACGTGGAAAGTATTGATACCGTATTCTCAAGAAGGGTTTACATGCGGGTTTCCCGAATGAGTGTGTTAAGCGAAAGACTTAAAGGCAAGATTCAGAAATTAATTGAAGCAGGGTTTTATAAGTTTTGGGAAAGCTTGATCATTCATGCCCACACGGCTGGGGGCATAGGCAGACTGGGTGACGACAAATTTGTCGCACAGCAACTGGAATCTAACATTATTACCGTGTTTGTCATGATTGGCATCGCGGGAGGAGTTTGTGTCGTTATCTTTTTTATTGAGTTTGGCTTGGGTAGGAAGACGACAATTCTGGGAGGGTTTAGAACTTTGTGGTCAGCTAGTCGTACATGTGTAAAATATCTTGGGAAAAGATGTTTTAATAGGGATCGAGTAAAACCTGCATGTGGAATACAGCAAGAATAAATTTAATAAATTTTAGAATAAATTTGTTTAAAAAAAGTTGGACATAACAAATTGTCCGCCCCCGTAGTACATATGTACATACATATTTATATCACCCTTTAAGCCTTTCTCTAATAATATTTTTAGTCACCCATAACACGTCGCATGTGCACAGTATCAAACCCCAATAATTGAGCTCTAAAACTATTTCTTAAGTATGTGTGCATTTTAATTCATAATTATAATCATAATTCTATTCATAATTTCATTTTATATATTTATACACATAAGTATTTATTTGCATACATTTATAAATATGTATTTACATATGTAAAACGGGACATATGTCCCGTTTTAGTTTCTTACTGAAGTATAAACTACCTTAATATTGTTTACGGATCATTGTGCCATTTTGTTTGTATATAATCGTCAATTTTATAATTGTACATACATAAGTTCGATAAAATTTGAAGGTTGCCGATCAATTATAAACTTGATTAAAATAAAATAAAATGAAATTTAAGAAACTTAATTCTACCGAGTAGCTACTACAAGTCTTGAAAAGGTTCAAGTTTCACATCTACCCCGTCCCACGTTTCATTTTCCACCTTTACTACGAATTGCTCTTTAATGTCTGGCTTAATTTCGTCTTCCACTCCGCCGCCAATTTCTACTTCATCGTCCAAAATCACTTCACTTTTTACTCTCACGAGATCTAGCTCCTCCCCCTTGACCCCCAACGACGACGACCCATGCACCCGTCCAAGATGGTCAAACAGCTCGTCATACTTGTCAAATTTCTCGTCACACATCAAACATGCGTTATTCCACGTGGCGTGACTTTTTTGTATGTGCGATCTCCGGTAAATTTCTGAGCTGAACCATCTCCGACACGTTTCCACGGGGCACATGATCCGAGAGGAATTTCTAAACAAGCAAAAAATTAAGTATGAAAGAAACTATGCAAAATTCTCCAATCAAACAAAGCTCGGCGAATATCGGGTAAAAACCTCCAATTATCTGGGTCAAAATCCATATCCGGGACAAATCTCGCCCTCCAATATCCAAATAAATCAAAAATCTCGCTCCCCAATACACTCTAAGAAACCCGATAACAAAGTTATTACCAGGCGGAGTATCTATGTGACTCTACCGCATGGTAATTAATTTATTATTGAGTGGTAGATATTTTGTTACCGAACCGGTAATAACCCAGATCGCGAAATTTGAAAATATTACCAGTTGGTAACTAATTTTCTACGACTCAATAATAAATTCATTACCATGCGGTAGAGTCACATAGATTCTCCGCCTGGTAATAACTTTGTTACCGGGTTTCTTAGAGTGTACTCAAATATCCATATGCATAAAAAATTCTTCCTCATTAACCTCCAAATATTCGCGATATCCGCCAAGCTCTGATCAAACTTAACCACACTCACACGACGACCCATTCCTTGGACTGCCCCTTAGTAGTAATCCGTGTCCCCACGTGAAGGTGAGTCGTCAACCCGTAACCGCTCCCTAGTTTTGCGACACACCTGAAAATAAAATGTAAATCCGAGTTTTATATTTGAGAAGGCTCCCTTCTTTCAATTAGTGACAACTTTGAAGGTTTGCTCACGTGTCGAACGTCGCGTGGCGTTGTAATAATTCCGCCGTTGCGAATTCAGTCTTACACCGCTCGCACGTTTTCTGATTGAGCCCGCGACACCTGAAAATTATTGAACGGACACAGATTTTGATTTCTCCGTATCCAAATCACTCCCGCTTCGTATTAAAATTATAACGCTCAATAAAAACTTTTTAACCAGCCAGATGTACATAAATACGGGAACGTCCATATATTACGGTCGATATAAAAACTCCTCCGGTTAATTCTGGAGGCCGGAAACCACCGTTTTGACGACGTAATGTCTGGACGCTCCCTGCCTGACCCGTTTGCTCACCTGTTCAGTTCGTGAAATCGCAGGTTTTGCAGGGTCGCATACGAATTCGGACATGTCGGACAGGAAAAACGGACCCTTTGAGCTAGTCCGTCTTCCTCCGGAGGACTCTCTTGTGATGAAATACCTGCCAAAATCAATTATGTATAAAAAATCTATTACCATAAGTATTTACATATGTAGCTACCTAAAATACATTCAGGATCGATTTTAAAATCCGGCGTTGACATATTGAAAATTAAATTTGCCCGTTTGTAAAAAAAAATTATCCAACAGATAAGCGTATTTCGCTTTTCCTCCTGCCCCTCCTGTTGGATAACAATTAAATGAAATCTTTTCCATTACAAAACTAAAAGGTTAACTACAATTTTCTGATGAAATTGTTTAGTTACGCACCTGCAAAATTGCGAATTCCCAACCAATAGTCCGCTCTCCGACTGGACTTTTACAGTGTAAAGTTTTGACCTTGATGAAGAAAGCCGTTGCAAATTATTTACATATTACATTTGCAATACAATTTTTTCCAAAATTATTTATTTATCTCACCCGGTTTTAATAAGTATCCAGTTAAGAATAATCCAGAAGTTTGATTTACTGTAAACAAATCAATAAATTCGTGTTAGCTTTATTAAATATGTATGTACAATAAATACTGCGAAACAATTAGAATGAATTAAAATTACCACCTGAAGTTGTATAACTTGCTGTATTTAATTATTTCTTAATTTTCTTGCTTAAAATTTTGAATATTTTTTTATTACTTCATACTTCATACTTGGCACGACAGAGTGTCAGCTGCTTGCACGTTTTTTTCATGCCATGTGGCCTGCTCTGCTCGATATGAATATGACTTGTGTATTTCTCAAACCTAAAGCCTCGTACTCAGGTCGGGTTTTTCGCGAGTAATGGTTTAGCAAATATGAATCTAAACTTCTTATTTTGCAATATATTTGAAGAAACACTCCCATTTGGTACACTTTACAGTGAAACTCAAGTAATTCAAATGAGGGGGTACTTTAATTCTTTCGATAGAATAAATAAACCCTTAGAAACAGGTATAAAAAAGTAGCGTCAAAATTATCGAAATGTCCTTTAAAATGACACCATATGCGACAATTACGTATTCTTGACTCTTGACCCTGTATCATGACGTTAAAAATATTCACGTCCTTGAAATCGCGGTCAAATTTCCTTCAAAATGACATCCCATATGACAATTATGTATCTTTTGACCTTTGACCACGTCCTCAAGGTCACGAAGTCACAACTTAAACTCGTTTGATGCATAATTTATAATTAATGATATTATGCCACGTATATTATTAATTTACCGGTACATATTTCAATAATTAAGATAGATATATACAATGAGATCGTGTTTTTTCGCGCTCGGACGATTTTCAAGTTTGATAGCTTAAAATTTTCGTAATTTTGTGTACATGAAGAATCTGTAATAATATTGGGGGCGTAGATTGGTGGTTTTCGAGATCTGAGCTAAAATGTGCGAATTTTTTGATAATTTTGAGTTTAGCCTCAAACTCGTCAAACTTTGGTTTAATATGACTGGAAATAATTTATAAATTTATTTTGGACTTGAATTTGGTCGATATTTTGATATCTGACCCCAATTTTGCAATAAGTTCAATTTTGCAAAATAATTGCATTTTCCGTATTAGTATGCCACGATCTAATTTTGGAGTTTTGATTAGCATTTTAAGTTAATCCATAGGTCTAATGATCTAGCTGAATCGCTAGATACAATTCGTTACTTATTCCGAATGTTTAAACCAACTGGGGATGTTGTGAATAGCCGGCTATAGCGGTAAATTTGGGACCGCAGTTGCAACACATATTGCAACAAAATTTGAACGAAATCTAAATTAGAATATGAGTAAGGAGTTCATGTTAATGTTACGACGGATTTCTGATATGTCCAGTTGCCAATTCAGAATTTTGAAATTAACGCAAAGTATTGTTAACCACTCGGAATTTTGTTAATGCCGCGTCGACTTGTTTTAATAACTATTTAGTTAATGTCAATGGTTGGAAATCAGCATGTTACATATTAAGTTGTTACCTTATGACAATAAAAACTTACTAGATATTATTATTATGTTAATATTACTATTCAACATTATGCTACGAACATCTTTTAGTGGCTCTTTTGTCCCTTCGAGTAAGACCTCAGATGTCACGAAATTGTGGCGATCTGAACTCATAACCGAAATCATAAAAGAAATAATAACCTATGTAAATCATAACTGGAATCATAATCAAAAACATAACCGATTTTTAACCTAAATGATAATCTAAATCATAACCGAAATAACCCAAGTCATGATCTAAATGACAACGCAAAAGGAAATCATAACCGAATTAGAAGGGAACGTCCAAATATTACGTCATCATTTCAGAGCTGGGAACTAATCCGGATTAGTCAATGTGTTTAAATGGTCAATCCCAATCCCTAATCCCTAATCCCTCTATCTTTTAACTTTGGATAATCCGGATTATGTAGTTCCCAGCTCTGCATCATTTTAATGCATGGGTGGTTCAAGTCCTATTTTACCCATGTTAAAACTCCCTATCCCTTGATGTATATGTTGGATTGGTGGGTGGGTGCTAAAATTGAGAATTTCTGACAATGTAATTTATGGATAGCCCCTAACCTAAATCATAACCAAAATCATACACAAAAGAAATCAAAACCATAACGAAATTGTAATCTAAATTATAGCATGATCATATCTAAGAATGGTACCCTGAGCTAGAATAGTAATCTGTAACTAATTTAATCTGTAACTAACTTAATCTGTAACTAATTTAATCTGTAACTAACTTAATCTGTAACTAATTTAATCTAACTAAATGCAAGACAATATTCATTTTATACATAAGAAATGGTTAAATTCGAGAGTAAGACAAAAGTCGTTCTAAAAAATCGTGGTCATGGCGCGGAAAAAACACAATTGTCGTTGCTTCAGGAGGTCATTGATTTTCACCTTTTTTGCTCCGTGGGCTAAAATTTGTTGCAATTTAGAGGAATTTCTGCTATACCAAGACAATGCTAAATTTGAACATTTTCTTACCGAAAGTTTGTATATATTTCCCGTTATATTTCCCAATATAACGCAATGCTAAATTTTTAATTTTTCAGTTTGTCGAGTTTTATGCATGAAAATTCCTTCTCCCACACCATGACCACAACATACTTATTAATGCATTTTCTTCTTGTTAATCATACACGTTAATAAACATTTCTAATGCCGCTTTTCCCCCTACCAATGCTTTATACAAGATTTCGTGGATTTCACATTTTTAAAATTTCCGAAGGAGACAACTTTCCAGAGTACATTCGGGTACGATTTTTTTCGGCCGGGTGTACCCCAAGAATTGCTGGATTTTGCCCGGGTCGGATTCTTCGTTTATGTAGGGTGACATGCTGGAAAGTCGGATATTTCCTCCAAAACAGGGTAGATATCCAATAGAATAAAATGCAAGATGGGTCGTCGGGGTGCTGAAAAAATGAAAATTTTGTATTAAAAACTGCGGAAACCAAGTACGGAAAAAATTATGACGTCGGTCGATATCAATCAAATGGACAACTTTTCATGCAAGATACGCTGTTTGTGGGCTGGGGTCTTTGGGGTTTTGTGGATCTTATGGTATCCAGAAACCATAGAATGCTTATGGTTGAGCAATTAAAATTATACCAATTTCTTTATGATTCTCATAAAAAATGGTTCTATCTGTAATTATAATGTCTCATCCCTAATCGGGGTTTCGTTGGTTTTTGTTGGCCTTTTTAAAATTTGGGGCATAAATTGAAACACAAGAGTACAACTTACATCAAGACTAATTAAATTTTCGGATTCAGCATGAAATAGAATATTCCTTCGGTATGATGTTGATTTCATAATAATATTACCACCCAATCAAAATTTTCAACCAGTTTCCGATCTTCAATTTTTTTTACAAAAAAAACACGAAAAATCCACTTTTTAACATAGTAAAATTTTGGAAGAAAAAATTCCACAAAACACTGAAGAAATAGTATTTATTTTTTAAGAAATTTTGGTATCAGGCTACGTATGTAGTTTATGCAGTACACATATTTGTGTATTTCGTCGTCACGGGAAAATAAAACACTAGACAAATACGTGTACTTGGTCGTTAAGGGGTTAAAACGTCTTACTGACGGAGTGGCCATAATTTTGTAGTTTATGTCGTCTTGACTGGAATTGGGACGGGGTGTGCACAGAGGTGTGAATGAGGCTCAATTTATATCTTTACGAGGTGGGAAGTCCATCATAAAATTTAAAATTTATTACTTACTTTCATTCATTCCACTCAAGAATTTACGCATCAGAGAAAATTTGATAACATCATTTTCACACCATCTCCAGGGCCTTTTAAGGAGTTTACGACTTTTTTAAATGGTAGATTTCGACAGGATTATGTAATTATCAGGCACTTACGTAAATCTCACATACTTCTTTATATGCGTTGACTACAATTTATTTCTTCGGCTCGTTAATCATGTTATATTTTCCTTGTGAAATACATAACCTACATAAATAAAACTGCATTTTGTAAGTAAGCAAATATATTTATGTAGGAGTATTTATGTGAATGAGTTAATCAGCACTGCATATTTAAGGTAGGAGATGAAAATATAAGCACAAATCTAGATGTAGCTATGCACCGGTCACACTTTAGTCTGTACCCAATTAAATAAGAATCGAGCTCCCCCAACGCCTGCCTACACATTTTGAGCTAAAAATTAGTCTTAATCTATCACAAATTTAGTTATATAAACTCTAAGAAACCCGGTAACTTAGTTATTACCAGGTAGAGTATGTATCTATTTGACTCTACCGCATGGGAATTAATTTATTATTGATTGCTTGAAAATTAGTTATCAAACCGATAATAACCTCGGTTGCGAAATTTGAAAATATGTATTACTAATTGGTAACCAATTTTCTACGAGTCAATAAGGAATTAATAATTAATTACCATGCGGTAGAGTCACATAGATACTCCTCCCGGTAATAACTTAGTTACCGGGTTTCTTAGTGTTTAGGAGTAAGGAACACGAAGTAAAATGTACATGCAATTTGGCAAGTTTATGTAGGCTTCTCTCCCACTAGGATAAAAATATCTGCGCATATCCCCGAAATATGCGAGTACCCCGAAATCTGCGAATACCCCAAAATCTGCGCATTTGGAATATTGCCATTTACTAATTTCATCATCTAATTTCAGTTTTAATTTCATCTATGCTCAATTTGTGCCCATACCCTGGGAGACCTCCATCGTAAAATGGTTACTTTTATGACCACGGGTACATCCGGTTTCGACCTACATTAATGTTTCAAGATTCCCGCTGTGCTTGGAAACTTTAGGTGTTAACCCTCCCACGATTCCGTTCTATATTTATTCCGCAATTAAATAAATTAACAAATAAATTCTTGATTGGCAAGTTTATTACTAAAATCGTAAAAAATTTTAGGCCAGGAAATCTGCAGGCTTCCGTTACATAAAATATGGTCATGCATGAAAATGCACAAAAATCTAAAATCAAAAAAACTTAAAATCGAGAATTTTCGATAACGTAATAAATAGTGTTTCTCAACGGGTACGAAATCCTTCATCCGAATCCGAACCCGAACCCGATATCTTCTACCCGAATTCGATAAGTACCCGAACCCGATAATCCGATTTGTTTGGGGAAAGATCCGAATCCGAACCCGAACCCAACACGCTTCATCCGAACCCGATACCCGTTAAGTACCCGATAAGTATAAAATAATTGCATACACTCATTTGTATATTAATTAATTTGTTTCAAAATTATTGTTGAAACAGTTAATAACTAATGACAACTTTGAGCTTCAATTTTATAATTTCGACTTGTTTGTCAAAAATGAAACCAGCTTTAAATTGTATAACTTTTTATTTCTTCCACTAATATCAATCACTCACGAGTACTATTGTTCATAATATTGTCATAATATTTGTGGAACTGTCATATAATATGTAACTCAAGATAGAAAGGCAGACAGAATAAGATTAGGTCCTCAATCTCGCCCATGTTAAAATTTCAATCCAGTAATGTGTACATGGAATGGTGAGGGAGGACCTAGAAATGGATAAAATTTGGTTATTTATTTTATGCATGAACGTTCTATTAATTGAAGGACATATGGATTTTGAACAACTGCCAATGTTTAAAAAACTTATTGTGGGACTTAAATCTTATATGTCAATTTTGAATCGGGTTTTCGGATTTCCGAAAATCCGAATCCGATTAGAATAGGATACTGAAAGCGTGATCCGTATCCGAACCCGATAACGTTCGGATACAGAAAACCCTATCCGAATCCGAACCCGACAAAACCCGAAACCCGATAACGACCCGAACCGGTTGAGAAACTCTAGTAATAAATATGTATATGGATGGCCCCATACTGGAATCAAGCCCTCCACAGAAATCATCAAACCAATAATTCTACCAGGGTTTGAAAACCCACTCATTTGTCATACAAAAAAAAGTACAACGTAGTTTCACGCAACATATTAAGATCCCCTAAAATAGCGCATTTTTCATAATTAATCAAAAACTGAAACGTGTTACTTGCCATTGAAATGCTTCCGTCCTTTGGGTTATTGCCCGATTAAAAATGAACCCTTTTTCTATACTAATTTCATGCAGGTGAAAAACAGCAGCACTGGTTGGAACGTCTTATTTAATTAGCTTAACCTTTCCACCTACTCGACTTATGATTACTTGCTTATTATCTTATTTGATGATATCATGTCCCAATTAATAAGTGAATCTAAAGTAAAGTAAAGTACTAGATCTAAACTACAAATTTAACTACAGTATGACTGTCTCGCCGATGAGTTGTAAATGAGTTGAAGATGAGTTACCCTTCATCGCACGGCAAGTGGGAACCGACTTGTGCCAAATTAATGTATTTTTTTGCATTTTTAGACTTCAGATATATAAATTTGAGATGAAATAGATAGTACAAATTTCAAATGAATACAAAACTTTTATTTATTTTTAAACCAAATTGTTCATGCGCCTTAATATGACGAGTAACAATAGTATCATAAAATTATTGAGTTTACGACTTAACCAAACGTAAAGTTTCCCTAACCCCGTTTTGCACATAACCACCCGTCCGCCACCAATTTATCGGCTTCCCCCGTGTGGACGGGTTTCCGTGGCTGAAAAATTTCCATCTCCACGCTCGAACGAGTAGACTCCATCGGATTTGGGGCAACCTGCATAAAGACTGGTTTTACAAGGGACCTTCGCAATTTTTTACTTTACAAAATTTATGAACATCCCCTTATTCCAAGAAATGTGACAAACCCGAGAGGTATGAGGCACTCCACTGTTCCTATTTCGTCCATGGTTAAACCCGAAGTAGAAATATGTTTGTAGGTAGTGTTTGTCCTATTTTCTGAGATTCGTATAATTGCCAGGCAATAATGCAATGCAGCGGGGCCAGGAAAAGGACTCCAATAATCTGAAATTCAAAATATGTTACATTTTTTTGAAAAATATGAAACTCAAATTTTTAATTAGCCTCTAAGCAGTACAACCAATTACGAAAAACTGCATTAGTTCGCGGACTTTATAAGCTCTCAACACTTTTATGATACAATTGTTACCACTACTTACGAAAGAAACCTCTTTGGTGCCATGAGCTCCCAGCATAACCACTATATACATTAGACGCAGTTTTTAATACTAGCCCAATGATGTAACAAAATTTCCTTGTTAAAATGACATTTGGTCACGTGGTGACGACTTTAGTGACGGACGGAACGGTCACGGTCGACATGCTTTTAGTAGTGCAGGTACCCTTTTCACAACACACTCCTCACTCATCTCACTTAAAGCTCACCCAATTACTGTATTTACAATATAATTACTATTTTCCACTATCTACAGCTTTTCATTTTTCTATTTTTCTACTCAAAAATCAGTTTAAAGATTATGTAAAAATAAACAACTTTTTCTGCTTTTAAAAAGTGAAGAGATTTGTTCCTACCAGATTTCGAAGTGCGCGTGAACATTTTTTTAACTCGAACGGAAAAAATAATATTGAATAGCTGTAAATTGTAAATTAATAACTAGGAAAATTGGGGTCCGAAATCGAGGCAGCGGCCAAATTCTAGTGTAAAATAATTTTTAAAATTATTTCCCGCGATATTTGACCAAAAGTTGGAGTAGTTTGAGTCAAAATCCAAAATTTGCAAAAAATTCGCACATTTGGCTCAGATCTCGAAAACCATCTTACGACCACCCCATTTTTATTACTGATTTTTGATCTACTAAATATTACGCAACTTTTAAGCCATCTAACTCGAAAATCGTTTAAAAAAATCACAATTTCATTGTATATGTATATCTATCTTAATAATGATACTGTAAATCTAAAGACAGTAAAATTAGTTGCTGGTATCCTCGGTTAATAAATGGGTTGGACTTTAAGTGAGATGAGTGAGGAGTGTGTGGTGAAAGGGGTTACTGAAAGCATAGCGACCGTGACCGTTCCGCGCGTCACTAAAGTCGTCACCATGTGACCAAATGTCATTTTAACACGGAAATTTTGTTACATCATTGGGCTAGTATTAAGAACTGCGTCTAATGTATATAGTGGTTATGCTGGGAGCTCATGGCATCAAAGAGGTTTCCCTCGTTGGCCGGTACATATTTTTAGTTATTGCTCGGCTGTGCGAATTTATTTTAAAATTCTGCATGACAAATTTTTAGAGCGGGTAGTTGCCAAATAAAGAACAAATATAACTTATACGGCTTACGTATGCGCAAATTCTAAACTCTGCTGGCGGCGGGATCTTCGTCGATGGTTTCCCATTTTCCTCAAAATAGTGGGGAAGCAGAAGAGACGCACATGTCATCAAAATGTGAAGCACTCCGAGCAAAACGTGTATAGTGGCTCCCTGGAAATAATTCAAGAATTCAATTTTTATTAATACACTATAAATAATCTGGTAATAAACATTACTAAAAAGAACAAGTATTTATGTGACTCAACCAAAGCTATAATGATTAGTTTTACCGTGTGGTAATGGCTTGGTAATAAAGTTTTACCATCATGGTAACGAATTTTTACTACCTGGTAAAATATTATTACCAAATTTGTTACCGAGAGTGACTTTACCGGATTATTAAGAGTGTACTCGTTTGATAATCTGCATAAAATTTTGTAACTCAAGTAACTCGAACCCGATCGCTTACGGCGGGACAAATTTGGCTGGCTTTCTAATTATTGCCGGGTCTGCTGCATAATGTTGACGCAAACCATGTTCAACCCAAACTATTTTCGTACCAAGTTGGTTCGAAAGTTTAACTTTTCAGAAGCAGAAGTAAGATTAAGCCCAGAATTTGAGCAGATTTCAAAAACTCGGCAAGGTATAATTTGCCATAACTCATAATTCCACAACTGCCCCCGCAGGATACAGCTTCCTCGGAAAAACCCGTGGGGCCCAAAATTTCCTGAATTTTTCACCCCCGTTGTTTCCAAAGAGTTAGTCTTTTAAATTAATATTGTTAAAAAATAGCCTAGTTTGAACATGGTTTGCGTCCCAGTTTATGTTTTGAATATTATCCTTAGCTAGATATAAAAAGAGTATATGCGATAGTATACTCCAGAGGTCGACGCCGACAAATTTTCGGGGGCGGCGGCGCCTGTTTTTACTGATTTTTCACCTGCGGCGCGGTGCGGCGCTTCGCGGCGTCGCAATCTTAAAGGAATCAAATTTTTCGGCTGCGATGGCGCGTAAAATGCTAGTTTTAAACAGGCGTTCGGCGGCCCGGCTAACGATCGGTGGCGTCGACCTCTGATATCCACTAACAATCGAATCTTATTTCAAGCTACACTGGGATTGTCTAGCGAGTTATATCAAAAAATCAAGCCAAAAATTAAAAACAACATGGCGTTATTCGTTCCGTTGAATGGCCCCTTTGAAGAAAAATATTAGCGGCAAAGTTCAGTTCTTTAGAAAACCAAAACCAAGGCTCTCGTCTGCCCCCCAATATTTTTCTTTAAAAGGGGCCATTCAATGGAGAAATAGGTGCCATTTGATTCCTAATTTTTGGCTTAATTTTTTGCCATAACTCGTTACGAAATCCCGGTCTAGCTTGAAAAAAGGTTCCATTGACAATTAGTAAAAATTGAAAATATCTCATCTCTCACAGCGCCATGCAGCTCCGCATTGTTTTTATTGAGGTCGAACGTATTAACCAGGACGAATGCCGTCACCGCAATTAATGCCAAAATGTTCACCGCTAAGTATGGCGAGTATCCGTCCGTCTTTCCATACGTTCCCAGCATCAAGGTCACGATTTGTAAAACCTAAATCCAAATAATATAAAATTCATCACCAATAAGGGAACATTCCCAGTGTATTCTCTACGATTTAATTATTGTGCAAAGAATGACTAAACGTGATAAGTTGGATTTGAATTTCAACGCAAATTAACGCAAATGTTAATCAAGTGGGCACGTGTTTTCTGCTGGCAGAAATTCCATCACGTTTAATCTTTTTCTGCATAATGGTATGAAAATTGCGAAAGATGCGATCTCCCAATGGACACTTTGGCAGAAATATTTGTATCCGCAGGGGACGTGCCAGAAAATCGACAAATCGTACATTTTCATCATTTACTGCACGTTTTCTCCTCTTCGGATGCAAACATTTCCGCTAGTCGGGCCAATTTTGTCAATCGATCATAAATTTAATTCATATGTATGACGTTGTCGAAAGACACGATCTCCCAATTTTTGCAAGGATATTTGCATCCAACAAGGACAAAACATGCTATAAACTTGGCAAATTTTTAAACATCCAAATTTACTTCGCCTTGTCTCCTATTCAGAAAGTAAATTTGTCAACTTTGTGCCGTTTTTTTCCTCTTTGGATGTAGATTTCCTTGCCAAACGTTCCTTTGGCAGATCGTCAAATTTATACTAATTAAATACGTGATCGATTGAAATTATATTATTTCCTCAAAATCCGAGACTATCCGCTGTAAGTCCTCCATTGCTCGGTCAACCAAGCATGAATTTTTTGATAATTTTGAACACTAAACTTTATTCAAAAACTGTCCTTACAATGACCAGAAATTTCAGCTGGTCATGAATTTCAATTCAAACCCCATCTCGATCCACGAATTGTATGTAACTGGTTGGGATCGGATCAAAAAGTCAAAAAATAACTTTTAAATTGTGAAATTAGATATTCCAGAAGTTAAATACTTTGAACAAAAAGTTTTAAAAAATGAGAAACTGTGTTAATTTTAGGCTGATGTTGTCAAGAAGGAAACAAGGAATGAGTCCTAATGGAAAAAGGGCTACTCTTAAAGTCCAATTTCATCATGTGTTCAAAATTTGAACTTCAAATTAAGGGTGAAATGGGCACCCGGCCAAATCCAATTCAAGATTATAGGGCCGTACATGAGGCATGTGATCGATTTTGGGGAAAATTGTGACCCCTTCGCCTCTAGTGTGACCTATTTGTTCAATTTAACATTTATCATGGGAAGGTTAGGATGCCAACCCCCACAAGTCGACCACGTGCTTTTGCACAGCCGCTAAATTCAGAGTCCCTTTAGTTTTCAACCGTTTAGGAAGAATGCAGGGTCCACTTTGTACCTTTTCTTCCACACGCCTGAAGACCAGACTGCTCTAAATATGCATATGCTTATATTGAAATGCTAAGAGTTCAACGACACAATAGGGGCACGTCCATATACTACGTCATAAAAAAGATAGGTTGGTAGCTCTGGGTCGCTTATATTATTCGTGTTGAGCCTGACACGAGTAGGAACGAGAAGTGCTGGGAGGGATAGGTCTAAAAATCGGCGTTTTTGATAACATAATATTTGGACGTTCCCAAGGTTATTGTACTAAATTTGTTGTTACCTGCGTACCTCTGCACAAATATTTTCACACCATATGCCTCACAACTTGGCGAACAATGGCCCAAAATCATCTACATAAATAAGTTTGTGTGACACTGGAAATATATAAAATTTGGAGACAAATCGTCAAACGCTGGAATTTAACTTTAAGTATAAAACCTTATTATGTATGTAGCTAAAATAACGGAAAAATATACATAATTATGCAAATCGTACAGGTATGTATTTATGTGCATCTGTCTCGCTTGCTTGAAATTTTGCACTACAAATTTGATATTCACTTATTTAAAATTTAATTCTTCAGAAATGAACTCATGTTTTTCCAAGATCTGAACCTAACCTTACATATTTATGTACGCATTTGTCCTCTCGTTGAGACCATTAGTTTACTCGATTTGCAAAATTAGTTATGTTCATGCTGACGGACGAAACGATTGCAATAACTTCATTCCAATTCCAAACTATAAGTTTTTACCGTTCTTCTGTTTGCATGTTTAGAAAAGGACAAAGCGACCGACCATACATAAATTATGTAGCGCAAAAATCACGTGAACATTATATGCAAGACAATGAATTGAATAACCCGCGATTTTACTTTTCCAACCCCCATCGGCGAGTTTTTAGTGTGCTCGTTAACTCTACAATCCAGCGTATAAACCTGTGACGCTCAGGAACGAATCCCTCCACAAAGCCAAGCCTCCGGCAAGTAGAAAACCACACAAGGTATATATCGTCTTCAAAGCCTCTAGGGAGACAGGGTTAGCCTGTTCAAAAATTATAGTGGCCTATCATTAATGAATTTAATGCGATGATAGGCCACTACATATTAGTGGGTATGCATATATATCAACAAACGACTAACCCTCGGGATCGTCCTTAAATTATGTTCCCGAGAAAGCCAAGGGGGGTCCAAGGCTCCAATGATACCGTGTCTATGTGACACATGTCACAAGGGGAAAAGGGTTCAGAAAGTCGCGATTTTTACATGGCACAAATTTATGGACGTCCCCCTACTACAGATAATCCCACTCCAGCTAAAAATATACTTACCCTTGGCTAACTTTGGCGAGCACAAGGGGAAAGCTCATATGTTATGTCCCAAAAAAGGATGACTTTTTTACTCACCCACCGACCCACTCCGTCCCTATCCTACTCATGTTAAGTTTAACACCAGCAAGAGAGGAAAGCCAAAATGAGGCACCCACCATTTTGATGACGTAACGTATGGACGTTCCCAAACTCGGGTTTTTACCCTTTACTCAAGTTAGTCAAACAGTTAGGAACCTTCTTCCACGCCATATTCTTCCAAGTGTGGAAGAGTGCCTTAATTTTCCTTGTATATTCTTGAATTCTCAGAATTAACAACTTTGTTAAATACTTCGTTAATTGCAGATAATAAATTAATTGATAAATTGGTAGTGACTCACATTTAAATACAGTTACAACATTTCTTTATAAATATACCTTCTGGCAAAATAACTGAACTGTATTACATATTTACTTACATCTCAGGTAAAAAAAATGACACACATACCAGATTATAATTTTATTCACTTCGCTAATAGTCATGCCTCAATTTAAAAATTCCACAAATTTTTTAAAAACAACGATTATCATCTTTTACCCTCTATACCAGCGAATTTAGCTAAAATACGGATCTGTCCTCTACGTAAAATCCTTTGAACGAACATCCTTATTCATGCCAGGAAATCCGAATCTGAAGTGCGAGGTATGACAATTATGCAACATATTTAGGGGCCGTCCATAAATAACGTAGCTTTAAAATCGCGATTTTTAGACATCCCCCTTCCGCCCATTATTATGTTTGACATATAATTCGAGCCCCCTACATTAATATCCCGAAAAGAATATACATAATTCCTGGAAATTTGTAGGGATAAAATTCAAATCACGCAATCCACATGGCCAAAAACATCTGCCAAACATGCCACCGCGAATTTACCAGGGCAACACATCTTAACGAACACGTGACAAGAATGCACACCTCCAGAGAACGACATCGCCCCTGCCCATTCGCACAATGTGGGAAAGCCTTTCATGAAAAAGTTGACGTTGGCAGACACGTGAAAAGCATGCACAGCACGAACAAACGACCCCCAGTTCCGTGTACTTTTGAAGGATGCGTTAAAACCTTTAAGCATCAGAAGACCGCTTTCCACCACTTTGTAAAAGAACATGCCACGAATCCTGTCCGATTTCGGTGCACCCTTTGTGGCAAAGAATTTAGGGAAAAGCCCAACCTTGACAATCACATTGCCACCCACACTGGCGAGAAAAACTATAAGTGTCCAAACTGCAGCAGAAGCTTCAGACACCAGTCAAATTTCAAAGCGCATCAGGTAAGCAAGGGAAAAAATGTGATTCTTTAACCATACATACAGGGTGGTTTAAATGTCAGGTTACAATGGAAAATTTTTCAATGGGAAAAATTCGCAAATCTCCATTAGTTACTGAAATTTTGCATCTGAAATTCAATATTTTAAGAATTTTGTCATCAGTGTTCCATAAGTTTTGATAAAAATTAATAAAAATCTCAATCCCAAATCGGTAACTAATGGAAATTTACGAATTTTTCCTATTGAAAAATTTTCCATTGTAACCTGACATTTAAACCACCCTGTACATACCTCTTCAAAAATTTTGTTTTCATTCATTCAAAACTCAGTCATTCGGATTTCTGACGGAAAATTTGTATTCACATTCAGTCATTTTCTCTCAGACTCATTTCATCTGACTTCGTCGGACTTAATTTCTCATTTCGCCCCATGAATTAAGAAAAATCGAGAAATACTTTCACTCACAGTCATTCATCTGAAATGACAGAATCCTTCAGTCATTTTAACTCAACTCGCAATAATTAAATTTTCATTCACTATAAATTAAATCAATTAAATGAATGAAGGTGAACAGGTACATATGTATGTGTATACATAATACCGTTTGCTATTATTTCGACACCGTATTCCTACAAACGTGTATACTTTAGGGAGGTTAATAGGTTTCTTGAAATATTTATGTATATGCATTTCCCTTTATGCTAAATGAGATTTTCAACAATGTAGGAAGAAATCCAGGCAAGCATTGCGCTCAAAAAAGGTCACCACTGCGGCCGAGATTAAGAACATTAAGCGCGAATCTGCCCGCAGAATTGTGCAGACGGAGGACGAGAAAAAGGAAGAAGCCTTCCATTTTGTAATGAAATATGCCACGCCTGACGAAATAGAGAGATATCAGGACGCACAAGGCAGCCGAGATTATGCAGAAATTACGAGGAATGACGTGATCCGGAGGGCAAAGGAGGCTTCAAAAATTTAAAACTAAATGTACTTAAAATGCAAAATAAAAATAATTGATAGCATTGCACAGCTATTTATTCCTCGTAATTCATTATTAAATTTGTACAATCACTAAATCTAAACAAGGAGCATTTAAGTGTCCCATAATTTGTCCTTGTCAGTTGTCAGAGGTGAGCAGGACTGTCATTTTCTGAAGTCCAATCCATCCAAATCCAACTCATTTTATCCTGAAAAATCCAATCCATCCAAATCCAACTGTATAGGACTGGATAATGAATTATCCGAACAAATGGGTATCCAACTCACCTCTGCTGCTCACGAATTGTTTAAGTAATTAATCGGTATGACATTGTGTGCATGATAACCAAGTTTTTTAATTTATTACTCTAAAAATACCGTAATTTATTTAAGGTTATGCATAAAAAATACCCGGGTCGCCAATTATAATCGGTTTGTAATTGTAGCCGGATCTGTATTTACATACGGTATTCACCTTTCATCTTTGTTTACAAGGTAGAGAAATCACTTATTGAATAATAATATTTATGCATATTTACATGGAGTACTTAAATATTTTGTACAATTTCATAAAAGCATTTTGACTTTGTTCTGATCGAGCTTTTGTGTTCCTAATTTTTAAGAGTTTTCGAAACACTGAAATATTTATTTAACAAGTATTTCCAAAAATTTTCTAATTATTACTACTTATTTATTTAGGATTTGTTTCAGGTTCTGGGCTCGATTGTCCCACCCCTCGATTTCTTCTTCTTCATCCTGCAGAATTTCTTGCTTTCTTGCCTCCGTGACTCGATCAAGTTGTTCACGTCGTTTCTGATATGCGGCGGCATGCTACAGTGGGTTGTCAAAAGTGTTGGTGGTCAATTTTGCGGTCGGTACCGCGTGAGATATTTTTGCCCAGAGACAACCATGGACTAATTCTCCTGGCATTTTTTATAGCCCAACAAATGAAGAAGAAAATACATCAAACAGAGTTTCGAAATCTGACCCCGTTCGGGGGAAATTGAGAAAAAACTTCAAAAACAGTATAAAAAATTGTGGCAAAAATATTGGTGGTGGTTTATTTTTTGCGTCTACAGGCCAAACACGTCTGAATTTCCAGTCGTAACGTTAGTATAATATTCTTTTATGTTCATTGCACTATAAATTGATTTAAAATAGGCAATATAAATGAGTTGACCATCGCCGAGAAAAATTTATCAACAGCTCGCGTGAGAGAGGGGTTGGACCCCAAAATATTTACCTTCTGAGCTCGTTTAACCCCTGAAAAATTCAGAATATAATCATGCAGTACTTATAAACTTGCGCGGTGGTCTGTAGCGCAAAACAAGCCCGAACGAAGGCCACGCCATCAAGCCAAGGCAGAAAAGTTACTTATTATAGGAAGTACAACCCTTTTTTGAAAGCCCTAGCGGGCAGAAAAATTACAACACAATACACACTGAACAGATTCATTCTGATAATATTGAAATTAAGGTCCCCCACTTTATTTGAGTACATGCACTCCACCCCATCACTGAATCTGGTCGAGATAAAGATGAGATTAATTTCCCAACATGCTGGTAAGTAAAATAAGAAAAATAGCCTCTGGTGTATTTCACAGTTTTTTTCAAGCAATCGGTTATCAGTGGTTGAACTGATTTTTTACAAACATATTAAGGTCCACGGATTCTAAAAAAACAGAATTTGTTCTTATCCGATCACAGGATCTCGTCCCGATCATTTTTCATCCACTCGCATGTTCCCTTCGCCACCTATATTTTATCGACACATACATCTTGCTATGTGTATCTTTATAAACCGGCTTATTTCAATGAAAATTTGTTTCGGGTAGACTAAAACACCCAATAACCTGCAAAATTATGTAATCAAATATGATCTGAATTTTTTTTGTGACCCCTGAAACCTTCCCAACACTGCGGCGGTCTTTACCATAATAAGTAATTTTTCTGCCTTGGTGATATGCGGTGGCCTTCGTTCGGGCTTGTTTTGCGCTGCTGACCACCGCGCAAGTTTATATGTACTGCATGATTATATTCTGAATTTTTCAGGGGTTAAACGAGCTCAAAAGGTAAAGATTTTGGGGTCCAACCCCCCTTTCACGCGAGCTGTTGATAAATTTTTCTCAGCAATGGTCAACTCACTTATTTTGGCCATTTTAAATAAATTTATAGCGCAATGAACATAAAAGAGTACTATACTAACGTTACGACTGGTAATTCAGACGTATGAGGCCTGTAGGTACAAAAAATAAACCACCACCAATACTTTTGCCATAATTTTTTATACTGTTTTTGAAAATTTTTCTCAGTTTCCCCCGAACGGGGTCGGATTTCGAAACTCTGTTTGATGTATTTTCTTCTACATTTGTCGGGCTATAAAACATGTCAGGAGAATTAGTCCATGGTTATCCCTGGGCAAGAATATCTCACGCGGTACCGAGCGCAAAATAGACCACCATCACTTTTGACAACCCACTGTATATGTACATATTTTTAAATTTTGAATGAATGAAAAATTTATAATAATTTTTTCCAATTTTCAAATGAATGAATTTTGAATGAACAAATATGTATTCCCTGAATAGGCATTCGAGCGAAGCGGGGAAATGGTCCGGTGCCAAAGACCCGTCGCAATGGAGATGGCTGACCTCAAGCGGATCTCCCGCAGTGCCCGAACAAATATCACGGCGCTCTTGTTCTTGGTGTGACCGGGGCTGTCAGGAAAATTGTGCAGGAAAGAGGGGGAAATTTAGGCCAGGATGCGACCTCACTTTATACGCTGCCGAGCATTTCAAGTCATCCTGGGACCATGATGAATAATTTGTATGTAAAAATATGTATGAAATAACGAGGGTATTCAAATATGTACGTGTTGTACAAAAAGTTTCTTACCACCCTAAAAAATTTCCCATCATGGTTTTATCCATTTGAAGGGTGTTGATTTAATTCGTCCCAATTATTCCTAAATATGTATTTGAAAACTTGGGTTCATCGGGTGAATATTTAATACTCATGATTCTTAGTTACTAAATCGTTTCACACGAATTTGGCCAAAATCAAAGAGCATATGTAGTAAGACTTCCATTTTCAGTGGAATTTATGACTCATTTAGTCATTTCATTCAAATGAAAAAAATTCATACTCATTCACTATCCTAATCAGTTAAATGAATGAAGGTAAACAGGTATGTGTCTACATATCTATGCCAGTAAAACAATACCAAAAAAGTTACGCTAATTTCTATACCCGGGTGGAAAAGTGTTTTTTGGTGGTAAGAAACTTTTTGTACACTATGTAACCTCAAGTAATAACTTTTTTAAGAATCGTCGCCCCGTTGCGGATGCCACTCTCGGAGGAGAAAGCCGATGAAAGATTGGTCCTGATTGCGGAACAATTTCGTTACCTCTTAAACTCTAACATGGTCGTCTGCGCAGCCGCAATTTATCGAGGAATCGGACTAATTGGTGGAACCTTTCAGAAACATTTAATGTTTCCTAACTACGGAACCTTAATGAATTCCAACGTTGCCTCTTTTAAGGAAAATCGATACGAATTATTTGGAAATCCGGTCGAGCAAATTGTCCCGATTACTGCGTTGTGTCAGAAATCGTGCTGCATTTCTGTCGTGAGTATCAGTTACAATGGCAAAATGGGGATTTCAATAACGGCGGATAAAGCGTTATTCGGAGGAAAAGATGATCTTGAAAAATTTATTAGTCAAATTGTAAACGAGATTAGTGAAATTGGTGACATTACTTCAGAGCAGAGAGAAGAGGTTCAAATGAGTTTGGTTTAGAAAAAAATCTTATAATTTTTACTAGAATAAAAATATACAAATGAAATAATGTTTGGCTTTCAAAGAATTTCATACATAGCGACTTCAAATTGGCTTACCTATGTAAATATGTGCACAAAAAACCCACATGCAATATTTTTTTGAAAATTTGAAAGAGTTTATAATTTTAATGAATTTCAAAAACTGGCAAAAAATTATGAAACTCGAACTTGAAGACAATTGGAATTTTTATAAATCAACTACATCATTATGAAGAGACACGTTTTCGTATTTTTGAATTCACGCTAAAATTCGAAAATTTACAGAACTGTTAAAAATCTAAATTTTGGCTGGAAAACAGCCAAAAGTCCGCGCCTCGCGCTCAAATTAGCGCATTAGGAAAAATGCAAAAATAAGGGCATGCTAATTTTTTGTGGTGAACAAAATAAAATTGGTCCCAACCAGATCTAAGTTTTACACGTAAAAGACTCACATTGTCAGTAAGGATTTAATAATACGAGTTTTCTAAGAAATTTGCCAAATTCTTGGCACCGACTCTTTTTGAACTGGGGTCCAATATATACATATTTACAAACATGCATACTTGATCTCGCGAATTCTCCCTGCTCGCAGTTCTGTGCTATTATTATCACACTCCGTAAATCCGATTCGGATTCGGTGAATGTACATACACACGCATCTATGTCTCACTTTGTTACCAAGTGTTGGGTGAGAAAGTCCTACTTCATATAACGCAGTTCCTACATTCTCCTAAAAATTATCTCGTATTTATTTATCTACATAAAACAACAAAGCTACATATGGTGCCAACATTAAAAGAAGAGGCTAATTCTTCACTATTGTCAACCTACTTGAATGAATTCATCAGTGACTTGTAATTTTATGCACGTGCTGTTTGACTCTTAAAAGTTCAGTGAAACTGCTTGCATATAAAAAAAATTCAGAACAAGATGTCTTCGCGTGTGGGGTATTTTCTAAGATTTGGTCTCCCCTTGGGAAGTTGTCTCATCCTTTGTGGAATTGTACAGACTGTGGGTTGCTCTTAGGAAAGGCCTTTTAGATAAGTACATGCCCCTCGTTGACATTTGCATACCCTTTAAGTCTGTGGTGCTCACATTAAAAGAAGATGCTAATAGATACTTGTCATGTCATCCATCATCCCTCCTCAGTGAGCTCGGAGGGCGATGGTTTCACGCAAAATTCACGATTAGTCAATTGAACCTTACCTACAAGGTGAGAATTTGATCGTAATTTTACCATCACCTGAGCCCCCCTCCGAGGAGACGAGGGGGATGATGGCTGACAAGTAGTGAAGAATTAGCCACTAATTTTAATGTTCGCACCATAGCAACCGCGGTGCCTCAAGGATATTTATGTACTGTTCCTTGAGTGAAGTAGCGTATCGCAGAGTTTAAGTATTTAAAGAATTACGGAAAAATTTGTCGAAAAAACTGACTACACATGAGTCGTACAAAGGGAATCCGAAACCTAATCAATGATCAAATTTAACCAAAGAAAACGAAAAAATTATAAAAAATAGTAAATCAGTCAATGGTGCATAGTGGTTTAAATGGCAGGTAACAATGGCAAATTTTTCAAGGGGAAAAATTCGCAAATCTCCATTAGTTACAGGAATTTTGCCTTAATACTTTAAGAATTTTGTCATCAGTGTTCCATAAGTTTTGATAAAAATTAGTAAAAATCTCAATCCCAAATCCGTAACTAATGGAAATTTACGAATTTTTCCCATTTAAGAATTTGCCATTTGAACTTGACATTTAAACCACCCTGTATTTGATTATACGATGTTTGCCTTACTCGATAAAATCCCGATGTTACCAGGCCAACTTATTTATTGATACGGGATCCTTCCCACTTTCTTGACAGGTAACCAGCCTCTACGAAGTTTGCGTGGAACTTCCGAGTGTACTCGTCACTCACTGGGATGAACCCGTAGTTCAAATCATATCTGGTAACTACTCGCCACAATGTTTGAAAAACAAGAAAAATAAGTATTACTCTTTGTCCCACACAGAGACCCCATCCGTCATAGTTTTCAGTGTGCTCCGCTTGCTGCAACTTTTCGCGGATATCGTGTTCCTCTTGGTCGGCGCAATTGTTAAGGTAATCCAACTTTTCCAAGGGGTGTAGGGAGCCGTCCATAAATTACGTAACGCGAGAAGGGGGGAAGGGGAGTCATCTATGGCTCTAATGTTATCATACTTATGTTACATAAGTTAAAGATGGTCTAGAAAATAACGAATTTTGCGTTACGTGATGTATGAACGGCCCCTAGAGAAGTGGCTTAGGGAAACGACGTATAACTTGTAAGTCGTACATATATACATGCGTTATACAGGATGTTAATTCAACTCGTCGCGGTAGTGACTTTCTGGGTTCAAACCGTATTTAACATTTAAACAAGTTTATATTTTTTCTTGAAATGTTTTCATGCTTAGAACGAGTCCCTAAGTCCGTTTCATGAGCATGATAAATAATATTCACCAGAAGAACCCACGTTTCTACCGGTTTTGAGTTATCAAATATTCAGAAAAAATTGGGACGAATTAAATCAACACGGTTTACGAGGACATAAGTTTGTTCGTATATGTACATCCACTAAGCCTCTATTATTTACTATACACAATTCATTAACTCAACACTAAATTATTTTCCCCCTTCCCCCCAGGGGTCCAGACTGCTCCTGATCTCATGGGTGGTAGTAACCATCTCCAGCATCGTGACGCACGATGTTGCCTGGTTCCTCTACTCTTACTCTGAAGGGGGGATATCGTCAATTTACATATATAAAGCTGCGTACTTCGTAGTGGTCGCCACGATATTCCACGTGTACATCGTGTCCATTGGGTTTCGCTGCGTGTCCTGCATGAAAGAAAATCTCGAAGAGGTGCACCCCATTGGGAAAGGAGTTGTCCAGATTGGCAAGTATTTTGCACACCATGCAAAAATCGGGACTAGACTTATCCTCACGTCTGAATTGGTAAATTGTAAAATTTATGTAGATTCTCCTCGAAACAAACTAATTCTGTTATAAATATGCTTCTCTCATTTGCAGATTCTCAACTTGGATTTTTTCTTGATTGAGATACTTCCAATCGTCCTTTTCGACGAATATTACTCTGGTATTTTATGCCCAATATTTGCTAAATGTGCCACACGTAATGTCAGACATTCATACCTGTTCAAAAATTTAATTTTCATTCAAAGTCAGTCATCCCGATTTCAATCTGAAAGATTTTCGCTCACACTCTATTTCAAATTCATTTTATTTCACTTCATCCGACTTCATTTCTTACTTCGCCCCATGTATTCAACATAGGGTGAAAATTAAAGGGACTGAAAATTCGTTCGATATTACTTAATCCTTCAGTTATTTCGTTATCATAATCAGTTAAATGAATGATGAAGAACAGGTATGCCAACAATTAGTGTAAATACGCAGATCATGAGCGATATCAAAATTGGTGGGAAGACGTGGCGTTACGAGGTGTCCGAGTTGTACTTGGCATTACAGGTCTGGTAATTCTCTCGAAGGTATAAAAATAAATATTTTGTACAAACATATCACGTCTCACGTGCATGGTACGCGATTTACAAGGAAAACAATTTCTTTATTATTTGCACAGGGTAAAGAAACCTGGGTCAAGTATTGGTGCATCCCGTACCTTTTCACCGTGTTCTTAAGGTGCGTGTTTTGAATGTCTCGTTTACATAAACAAATTTAAGCAATATATGTAATTAATATACAAAACGTAAAGGGTGTTGATTTGATTTTTCCTAAATATTCATTTAAAAACTTGAAACTCAAACCCATTGACAACATGTGTTCTACTACGGCGAATGAATTTTCATGGATGAATGTTCATGAATGAATGTTCATGAATGAATGTTCATGAATGAATGTTCATGAATGCATGTTCATGAATGAATGTTCATGTATGTTCATGATTGTCCATGAATGAATGTGCATGAATGAATGTTCATGAATGATTGTTCATGAATGAATGCTCATGAATGAATGTTCATGAATGTTCATGAATGAATGCTCATGAATGCATGTTCATGAATGTGAATGTTCTCATGCTCTTGGTTAAAACTTAACTTGATGCGTCGACTTATCAAATAATTAAGAATCCAGCTACCAGTTTACGGCTTAAATTTTAACTGTGGCGTGACCAGCGGATTACCTCATTTTCTTACGGGCTTTAACACTCGAAATCCAAAAGCTTTGAAACACTAAACCACTAAACATTGACTCAATTTCAAAAAATATTAACTTATAAGTTGTACATAAATTACACGTTATATACATTTCATACGTTAACAGCGATAAGTCTCAATTAAATATGTTCCCTATTTATTTATCTACATAGTCTCGCCATGTTTCTGGGCATGGTTGTAGATTGGTTGGGCGAACTTGAATTTGTCACTGTCGCCTATCTCTTAAACTTCGCAATCAACCTGGTCTACAGGTTAGTTACATATATAAAAAATTGAATTAAAAATTTCGCACAGAAACAATGTCATGTGACAAATTAATGCATATTTCAGAGTTCTCGTCTTTACTATTTGCTTCTGGTACTCGTATCCCAAAAAAAATTCAGACTTTGGATTTATTGCAGAGCTCAGTTAGAACTTATGTAGCGGCGTTACACACAATGTTAAATTGTCATAAATACTTCAACATGTCAACGATTAATTAGAAATTTTTGAATCTTTAACAAAATTTCCAATTAAAATCAAGAAAATTTTTAATTATGTACTTCCTGTGTAGTAAAAATTCTGTTTCGATAATAATTTTCATATTTATTCATACATAGCTCTATTGCATAGTTATTTTTGTATTTAAACGTCTCAGCTTGACGAACTCCAAATTAAAATTACTGAGCAGCAATGTACAGATTGAGATCCATTAATCTAATCATTTTAAGTACATATAACACCACTAGAATTATTTATTTCCACGTACAAAAATTAATTTTCTAACAAATCAATGGAACCTTTTTTAAAGCCATGGCAAGATTGCATTTATAACGAGTTATTTCAAAAAATCAAACAAAAATTAGTAATTATACATAATTCCGTTGAATTGCCCCTTTGAAGAAAAATATTGGTAGTTCAAATTCAAGCTTTTAGTTAATTTTCTTACCATTTCGCTCCACGAGGTGCAAACTAGGGTTGCCGCGGGTAACGGGTCGGGTACCCGTTACCCGCATACCCGCACGATTCTTGCGGGTACCCGTTATCTGCGGGTAGCTAGAGCTACCCGCACGGGTAACGGGTAGTTCAGTTTTTATTTAATTTTCGTCATAACTCAGTTCACAAAGAAAGTTAGCAGCAAGTTAGTTGGCCACAAATATTTTTGTTGAAAGGGGCCATTCTACGGGCGCCGTGAGGTTCCTAATTTTTCGGCTGATTTTTTTATATAACTCGATGATAATACCGATATTGCTTGAAAAAAGGTTCAATTCTAATCAATTCATATTTCAAAAAATCTGTAATGTTTATACTCGAAAATAACGTTAACTCACTTTATCAGATTTTGTCCCATTTTTGAAACTGCATCAATACAATTAAGTTGGTTGCAACGGTTCCAACCATCTGAAATTATTTATATAAGCCAACGTTAATTTAATTAGCACAAGTACTGGCAGGGTATGCTACCCCGGGTTTTGGGGGTTTTAGTGGGTTTTGGGGTAGCGAATCTCCGGAAAAACCCTAATGCTTAATGGGGTTGTTGTGGGTTTTTCCGGGGTTTTTGTAAGATTTTGGGACAGATTGAAACAAAATCCCTTAAACTACAACTTAAATCAATGCTAATTAAATTGACGGATTCATCATGAAATTTTGAGAATTTTCATGTGCGACTTGAATTTCCAAGTTTTATTGCATATTTCCAAGTTTGCATGCGAAATATGAATTTTCGATTCAACAGTCCAACTCAATGATAACGCTTAAAATTGTATGTCAAAATCGTATATTAAATTACTTTTTATCTAATATATAATTTAAAGAATTTTGGTTCAACCTGCCCCAAAATCTACAAAAACCCACAAAAACCCACAAAAACCCAAAAACCCACAAAAACCCCAAAAACCCCGGAAAACCCGCGGGGTTGGGTTTTTCGAGAAAAACCCCGGGGTTTTCTGAACCCTGCCTAGCAGATCACTGGGCAGCAGTAAAAGAACGCCGTAACGAAGTGACAGTAAGATGGCCAAGGAAAAACTATGCACGTAAGAAAATAAATTGAAAAAATTAACCAAAAAAATGTTATCTAGCCCCAGTATTTGTTAACAACAAAATCGCACTTTGACGTCATAGATCAAGATAATCATCGTCCTTCATCGAGATCTCAGAGCCTCCCGTTTATTCCGCAAGAATTGGCAGGGAACAAACCAAGGGGGACAAATGCTTTAAGGAGGACTCACCCCAATGTCCCATCACCATTTTCGGAACAGCCAAATGATGACAATTCTGAGAAAAGGCAGGATGATGTTCCGCCAACCGGTTTTAATAATAATAATACTGACGAAGTCTCTGAAGAATTATTTTACACGGGTATTCTTTCGCTTTGCTCATTGCTCAAAAATTGCGGGCAGTTTGAAATCGTAGGAACTTTGTACTCTGCCGATAGGTCACGAATGTCCCTAGTAGAACTTTCTGTACAAGTATTAAATCCAAATTAAGATTGGCGCCAGATTTGATGCCGCGCATGTCAGAAGCCTTTGAAGTCTGGCAGATTTTGTAGTAGTTCATGTTTTGCATTAAGTTATTTCGCGGATTTATTATGCTCAGACCAAAATAGCGAATAAGTTACAAAGTAAATTAGCCTGGCACAGTTTCGATTCATTAGGTAGTTATGCACATACATATTTCTTCATAGTCGGAGTATGATAATCATTTGCAAAGTTCATGGATGAATTACTTAGCCTGTTTTTTTCTATCCGTCTTTCTTGCAAAAATTCTTAAAACCATGACACATTCTGATGAAATTAGGCAAAATATTTACGTGACGAATGAGGTCGATGATGGTTCCGGGAATCATATATTTCGAATGGTGGGGGCCCTATTGGTTGAGTGGGTTAAGTTCGGTTTATTCTAAAAAGTCCTGACCATAGAGAATTTGGTATGGAGGTGGCCGATGGCCTGCAATATAACTATATAAAATGAAGTTGGGAAAACTTTCGTCTGCTTCAATAGTCGATAAACATAATTAAGGTGCATTCAACTAATATTTGCAAGGGTCCCAAGGCAGGCGAAGATTGCAGGTCAACTCTCAAAGTTGTCAATCGAGGGGCCACACGTTTTAAGATTGTAGAACAATGTTCGCCCGGCTATGCAAATCTGGACTAATCGTTTTTTTATATGTCAGAGGTTGAAATCAAAATAGTACAATCAGTCAAGTGACCCCATTTTCACGTCCCATCCGATTTCTACCGGGGCATCTAAGTCTACCATACTTCCGGAAAATGAGCGGAAACAAGAGGCGCAGTCAAATAGCCACGCCCGGACGCGAACTCTACCTCAAACAGGCTGTCACCAGAAAAACGGGGATAGCAAGACACAAAATGATACGGAGCATGAAAAAACGGTTAAACCCACGGGTAATCGGGGTTTTCAAATTTAATAAAGTACTTATTATAATCGAGCATTGCTTACAATTCTAAAGTTAATTAGTTGTGAAAATTAAATTAATAAGCGGTTTTTTGAGCAATTACTGAAAAATCAGATTTTTTCAAAACCTAATACATGAGACATAGACTTAGTTTACCCACAAAAAACCCGACTACCCGGAATACCCCGACTGCAAGCAAAACCTATAGATATGGGTTTTCAATAGCAAACCCCGGGGTTTTCCTTACCCTGGGTACCTGCACTCCATTTCCTGTTATTTGTTGGTAACCTGTGGCTTCCTTCAAAATCATGACATAAGTATTTCTTTACAAACACGAATAAAAAATCGACAGTACTAAATCATAAAATAATTAAGTGCTTGTGTTAATAATCACCTCGGAATTTATTTTTCATCGCCTGAATCAACACTAAAGAAAAATAGTAGAATTTGCTCAAGTTTGAGCAAAGAAGAGGATGACGCGCCCAAAACAGGTAGGCTGCGTACCATAGGGTAACAAATGCAGTAAGTTGTGCATGTGTGGGATCGGGTCAACCTGTCGCAGGTCAATCCGAAAGGGTCGTTTTGATGCCCTAGTTTAACTAAAAAAGCGTTATACATATTTAAAGATAGATATATTGAAAATTTTATTTTAAATTTAATACAAAAATTATAAAACGGAAAAACAAAATTTTAATTCTACACTCTAAGAAATGAGGTTACGATTATACCCAAAAATAAACGTATTCATATGACTCTACCGTCATGGTTATAAATTTGCCATCGAGTCGTTACAATTGTCACCGACTAATCATAAAGTTTGACCAACTTGGTATTACATAGATTGTCACCCGAGCTAATAAATTTACAACCAGTTGGTGACAAATTCATAACGACGGCACATACCCTTTTACTTTTTGGTTATAATCGTAACCCCTTTTTTCTAAGAATATGTATATCTAAATTCGCTCTGCTATCGTGAAATCTGTTTATTCTGCTCATTCGCAGGAAGCATGGACATCGGGTCTAGTTTATTTTCAACCAAAACCTTCAGCATTTCAAGACGTACGTTGCAATCTCTCTGATGCATCCGTTCATTTGAGGAACTCTTTATCGCGACAATTTCCTTCCTGGTGTTTTCCTTCTTGTCGACAATGTATTTTTCTACCTCGCCCTGCAAGAAGGGACAAGCCAATAGTAAATAAGTTATAAAAACTATTCAATTTATATTTGAAACTAGGGTACGGAAAACTCCGGGTTTTTCTGTTCAAAACAACTTGCTAGGGGTTTTATGTACCTGCCTTTTTGGGGTTGTTTGGGCAGGGTATAGTACCCCGGGTTTTTGGGGTATTGGGGCTGTTTGGGCAGGGTATAGTACCCCGGGTTTTTTGGGTATTGGGGCTGTTTGGGCAGGGTATAGTACCCCGGGTTTTTGGGGTATTGGGGCTGTTGGGCAGGGTATAGTACCCCGGGTTTTTGGGGTATTGGGGCTGTTTGGGCAGGGTATAGTACCCCGGGTTTTTGGGGTATTGGGGCTGTTGGGCAGGGTATAGTACCCCGGGTTTTTGGGGTATTGGGGTTTTGGGGTAGCAAATTTGAGCAATACCCACGTGTAGTCGGGGTAGTCGTGGGTTTCAAATTTTATAAAGTATGGTAATAGGGCTTTACAAGCAATTCTACAATTTAATAAGTTACTAAAATTTAATTAATAAACCACTTTGTTGCGAAATTTCTGAAAAAAATAGATTTTTTTCACAACTTAATACATGAAACACTGAAGCAAGTTCTGAAGTTATTGGTAAAGTTGAAACGAGTTACGCCGAGAGGGCAAAGGTACATAAATATTTGGGGAGCTTAGACCATACCTGTTCAAGAAAACTTCATTTCAAACTTCATTTTTCATTCAAACTTCAGCCATCCCTGAAGATTTTCATTCACACTCGTTTTTTTTGTGTTTCCAGAGTAAAGTCTATACCAAGTTGCATAATTTTACTTTGGGATTGGTTAGTGTCGTTTGTCTATTTAATTTAGAATTCAGAGTACATTCACTTTTGAAAAGTGTTAAATTCTAGTTTTTACCAGACCCATTTTTTCTGCGTATTTTTAACAGTATCAATGACGAAGTTCTGAGCAAATATTGTGTTCATTTTTTTTTTACATCCGGATAAAACTCGAACTTGTTGTGAACACTAAAAGGAGGGCACTTTTTTGCATACAAAGCTGGCAGTACTCTTCTTTTAATGTTTGCACCATTAGGGTGGACATACATATGTACATATATCAGTTTTGTTGAATTATTTAACTGATCAGAACGTGGAATGGATAAATGCAGGAAACTGATAAGCTTCATAATAACTCAAAATATATTATATTATTTTCAATATAATCAAACAATTAAATTTCCATATGTAATCCTAACACAGGTCCGAGCCGAAGCAGACGCTATAACTCAGCCAGCCGAAAGTAACCGCAGAGCCAGGTAAGATGAAGCATATTACGCCTATAAAACCGCCGTCGCTACAAAACCGGCAAATATTGGGCCACAGTTTACCTCTTGGGTACAGCAACTCATGCCACAACCACCGCCTTACAATAATACAGACATTGACTAATAAATTAATTGTCGAAATCAGTTGAAAATTAAATGATTTGAAATAAAATGTTATCTTATGAAATTATGTGGAAGTAAAACAAAAATGTTTCCTATCATTATGCAAATAGTTATAAGCTTTCTGGAAAATTTTCGTGCATAAAATCCAATCGAAATAAGGATCCTCCTTCTTAATTAGGATGACGGTTGATGATCCATAATTGTGCATTTAACTCTGTCGTTAAGGTGTCCTGATTTTGTTTTATTGATCCAACAAACATTTTTTCAGAGTGAAATAATACAAATATTTATTTCCGTCGCAAACAAATGCATGTGTAAATACTTAACATACATACTCGTCCACTTATCAATTTAAGCAGACCCATCCCCCCAAATCGGCATAAATAAGGACATTTTTTCTGAACAGAATAACCGATGTTTGGATATACCATTTGTGACCGGTTTCGCAATTGTTTAATGCTTCATCAGACCTTTTACAATCAAAAAATATTACAAAATTGTTAAAATAAAAATTATAAATTAAAAATTGAATAAAATTAAAGTAAAATTATATACAGCCATCAAGAATAGAAATGAATCACAATATAAATTTATATTACCTACCTTTGGTCAAATTGTAAATAGGTCAGCAACCTCTGTCTGAGGCGACAGTTTAAGCAAATATTACGTAAAAATCATACATATTTAAGTAAATACACACACAAACTTGTGCTCTTAAAAACCTATGGGTATTGACAATCACAAATATTTACAACACATTTTGAGGATGTTTATTCATTATTCACGATATCCTCGGAACAAGCATCTCGTCGGTAAATATATATCTATCGACGCAAATATCGTTCCATTAAATATGCATAAATCGGTCTTACATATGTAGATATTCTGGCAGACACGACAAACAATTTTTGCAAATAAGATTTTCTGCGGACAATAAATATTGGCAAATATTAGTCAAGAAAATATTTACACACACTTTTGCAGGATGTTTTGTTTATTATTATTCTTTGTTTCCGTGCTAAACAAGATGCCCTCATTTTGACCAAGTGTTGTAAATCTCTTATCAATCGAGTTCTTGTAAACATGGCCTGAGAAGAGAATAACCGTTATAAAATATCTCTGCCCTCATCCACTACCGGGAGTATGTAACTCAGTTCATGACAACTTGGCTGTATTTTTTTGTTTTTCGAAATGGAAGAAACTTATTATAAAGATACGAAATTTTCAAAAACTCAAACAGACAGCACCCCACAAGCAGATTTACTGTTTGAGTGGCCAAGTAGTCACGAACCTCAGAACCAGGTAAAAGTTGACGACCTGCCGCCCCCAAAAGTGAGTAGCCCTCCGGTAAGTTTCCATAAATTAATGTAATTTTGTTCCCTAACGAGGGATGACTCCTAGCGTACAGTGAACGATTTTGGTCCACTTACTTATTTAGAGTTAATTGATCACATATTTAAATAGAAATAGACACAATCTGTGACTGGGTCGGTTTGTCAGAAATATTTGTATAAAAAGAGGAGAAGAAACGTTTCTAAAATTTGACACATTTTCCATATACTTTCCAAATTTACTACGTGTCCTAAAACTTGTCCTAAAACGTGTCCTAAAACAACATTTAAAAGCAGTTAATTATTAAGGGGTGAAAGCCCTTTATAAGATCGTTATGTCCGTCTGTCCGTCCGTCCGTCTGTCTGTCCGTAGCTCCGATAACTTTTGAACGAAAAGACATAGAGACTTGAAATTTTGAACGTAAACTCCTAACGTCAAGGGACAGGACGAGTTCGAAGATGGACACTGTGACATCGTCACCTGTGACGATGACGTCGTCACAGTGACGAAAAGTGACGAAAAAGTGTCACGTGTCAATTTTGGCATGCGACACATCATTTTTAACCATTTTTCAACGAGGAATTTGAAAATTCATGTCATTTTGTGTTTGGACGTCACCTGTGACGAAGACATCGTCACGGTGACGAAAAGTGACGAAAAAGTGTCACTTGTCAGTTTTGACATGTGACACGTCATTTTTAACTATTTTTCAATGTCAAATTCAATGGTGACCTCCATTTTGACCTCAGAGGTCATGTAAAGGTCATAGGACATATCTATTTCAATTTCAACTGAAATTTAACCCCGAATTCAATGGTGGCCTCCATTTTGACCTCAGAGGTCATATAAAGGTCACATAAGGGTTATCAACTGTTAAATTTGACACAAATAAGACACAAAAGTCGAAAACACGTCAGAGGTGTCAATCTTAACAAATTTTCGAACAATTTGATATTCACATTGACGTATGACACTCCTTTCACCCCTTGGTTACATGCGTTGTAACGGTTTATTTTTAGAATAACTTTGAATACAGTCAATGGAACAAGTATTAGCAACACCCACACAAGCTAAATAAAATTGGCTATAACTTTGGCATGCATTATCAAATTAGCATGAAAATTTGTTCGCATTTAGCAAATCTAATGTAGTTTTCGATCATAATCATGTTTTACTGATTAAAATTAGATTAACGCAGTTTTTAAATAATTTGTTGGAAAATTTGCGAAATTAACCCACAAAAAGTATTGGCACCCTCTAACTTAAAAAATCACTGAGCAACGAAACGACAATTTTATTGCGACAAAGTGCTTCTAGTATTACGTGGCACGTCCCCTCGAAGCAATAAGAGCAGAAATAGGTTGTGGAATTTATTCGACAAGTTCCTATATAACGTTTTTTTATATGGCTGCCCACAGTTCTTTTAAACTTTTGACACGCTCGTTTTTCGACTAGTGGTTTCCCATCGGTCTCTCTTTTCTCAACCCGGACAATCAGAATCACATCAGGAGACTGTGTAGCCAACGAAAGAATCTTAACCTTTTCGGTCTCCAAAAACTTGCATCGTTAATTTGGCTACATGTTTGGGGTCACTGCATTTTTGGAATATGAAATTTTTTCCTAGGTCAGGTTTTTGTTAAATGATTTCAAATTATCGTTTGGAATGATTGACAACACCTTCCTGGTCATAATTTTATCGATAATGACCAGGTAAACACGCCGCCACCTAGTCATTTAACCCCAAACCATAATCGATCCTCCTATGTGTTAAACTGCCATACGAACGTTTTAGTATTTCTGAGCCTTTTATTGCATCCGCCAGACTTGAACCAATTAATGAGCTCCGAATAAGTAAAATATGCCTATGTCGGACCAGTAGGCCCTTTTTCATTGATCGGAACTCTATTTAGGGCGATATTTAGCCCATTCCGATTTATTGAGGTGGTTCGCTTTGGAGACCCTCGCGTCGGTCGGGCTTCTGGAGCCTGGAACCCCAAGGCATAATTTTTGATTGATTACCATATTGTATGATATGTTGACCCTACAGTTGATACTCCAATTTAACATGGATTTGGAAGCTGAAATCTTCCGCTCTCGAGTGGTTCGTTGCTTGAGTCATCCTTAGGTTTTGGGCGTAGATGACTTTTTTCTTCCGCATCATGGAAAAGTAGAAACTGAGATTGTCATTTTATATTTCTTTGCTACGTATTCAATAGTAAATATGGAAAAGTATGTTTTCTCTTTGATTTTTCGATAGTAACGCTTTTTTGTGTAAGAGACATGATTATTTCTCGCCGCGCCAAATACAGCTCGTTTGGTGTCGCCATTTTGGCTCCAGACAACACAACTCTAGACTGAAAATGTAGCTAACCTCATATTTTGTCACCTAATTAACTTACCGAAACGAAATGTGGAAGATGGTTAAGAAAATTGTTTCGAGTAATTAATTTGGCCACATGTTGCCAATACTTTTTGCAGGTTTGCGTCTGACTCATGGGGGTCAAAATCAGGATTGTGTTATGTTTACTAGATTTAAATCAGAAACATGATTATAATCGAACACTACATTGGATTTGTTAAATGCGTACAAATTTTCATGCTAATTTGATAATGTATGTCAAAGTTATAGCCAATTTTATTTAGCTTGTGTGGGTGTTGCCAATACTTGTTCCATTGACTGTATGTCGTTTAAAATTTAATTATGAGGGAAAATTGACATATTTTCGCCTCGTTTGGAGACGTCGTTTCTAAATCGGAAATTACATCTAATTTCAGAAATCCTCTTCCTGGCGGATTCCAAATCTACTTAAAAAGTGGCCATTTCATACCGAAACGGTGGAGGAAATGCAAAAAAGGGTGGACGAGGAGTTGCGAATTTTCAATGTATTTAAATTTCCAAAATATTTATATTCATTTCCCTCTATGCTAATTGAGATTTTTTCAACAATGCAGGAAGAAATCCAGGCAAGCATTGCGCTAAAAAAGGTCACTACGGCGGCCGAGATTAAGAACATTAAGCGCGAATCTGCCCGCAGAATTGTGCAGACGGAGGACAACAGCAAGCAAGAAGCTTTCAATTTTGTCATGAAATACTCAACCCTGGAGGAAATTAAGAGGTACAATGATGCACAAGGCAGCCGAGATTATGCAGAAATTACGAGGAACGACGTGATCAAGAGGTCAAGGGAATCTACAAAAATTTAAATTCATCTCAATGATTTTTTTATTAAATTTAAACCGACTTGAATTATGTAAATATGTGTTTCAAACGTTTTTCATTCTTCACTTTTATTGATTCAAATAAATAGAACTATTTTATTAATTAAGTATTTCACAAATATAAATGTATTCACAAGTTGGTAATAATGCGATGGTGCGAAATGTAAGGTTATGATTTTGTTTAAATTTTGAAATTAAGAAAGTAGAATTTCAATAAATTCAACCAAAGTTTTCTGCGGATGGTTAAAGTATTTTAGCTCAAAGTGGAAAAATGAACGGTTTTCCCCTACAAAAAGAAGGAAAGTAGTGGAGTTTCCTTCTACCGCGGGATAAAAATCGCCAAAATTTTTCAATTCTGACCTCTAATAGTTTGACAAATTATGTACAACCATCAGTCAAATTTGCTCAAGGAGCTTTACGTATTTATATGTCCATTGCCTTGAACTGCATAGATAATTATTCCAAAATTTTAACAAAGTCAGACTGCTACATTTTTCGACATCGCATTTTCACTATCATTCATTACACTCTAAGAAGGGGAGCTTGCGAGGTTGATACAGAATAATAACAGATCTCGATGCCCTTTGGATATGAGGTAGGGTCCTATGAGTGTACTAAAACCCTGAAGTGGTTTGACTCCATGGCCACATATGCGCCCGCCACACCCACTCAAGGGGATGAAAACCACAAAAGTTACCAACTTCAAAAATCCACCAAAAATCCAATTTTGATCGGATTTTGGTAAAATTTACATTTTTATGATCCCAAGTACTTGTGTGATAATATCCAATAGCAATCTCAACTTTTTTGAAATTTTCGAAATTTTCGAGCTAATGAATTATTCAAAAAAAATTGAGATATCTACTGGATATGATCACACACATATCTGGGATCACAAAAATGTAAATTTTATCAAAATCCGAGCAGAATTGGATTTTTGGTGACATTTAAAGCACATGAAAACAGGCCTTTTTTCCTGTTTTTGGCGCCTTTGTATGGGTGTGGCGGGCGCAAATGTGACCATGGAGTCAAAGCACTTCAGGGTTATAGTACACTCATGGGACCCTACCTCATATCCAAAGGGCATCGAGATCTGAGAAGGGCAGGTGGTGAAGCTCCCCTCCTAAGTTATTACCAGGCGGAATATCTATGTGACTCTACCGCATGGTAATTAATTTATTGTTCAGTGGTAGACATTTTGTTTTACCAAACCAGTAATAACCACGGTCGCGAAATTTGAAAATATTTCCAGCTGGTACCTAATTTTCTACCACTCAGTAATAAATTAATTACAATGAGTCACATAGATATTCCGCCTGGTAACAACTTAGGTACCGAGTTTCTTAGAGTGTATAAATTCTAATTCATATTAAATTTCTACATCCACTAAATATTTATGTATGTATGTACATGGACAAGGAGCATTTAACCTTATCATAATTTTTTTCTCATCTGTCTGCTCACGAACTACATATTCAAATTGATCTGCATTACCAAGCATGCATGATAACCAAATTACATAATTTATTAGTCCGAAGAGAAGCAAATAATGTAAATACTCTATTTCTACATAATCGTCTTGAGCCCAAGGTTTCAAAATTTAACAAGCTTCCGTAATTATGGCATTGGTTTAACGCCTGTTATTAAATTATTCTGATTGTGCATAGCCGAAAAAAAATTGCCCGGGTCACCAATTACACCCGGTTTGTAATTGGATCTGTGATCCCCTTAGTATTCACATAAAGTATTCATCTTGCATGTTTGTTTACAAAACAGAGAAATCACTAATAATAATCACTATATAGTAATAATATTTATGCATGCACGGAGTATTTAAATATTTAGTACAATTTCGTAAAAGCAATTTGACTTTGTTTTGATCGAGTTTTTGTGCTCCCTCATTTTCAATATTTTACAAAATACTTGAATACTTATTTAATTGTATTTCCATAAATTTGCTAATCATTACTACTACTTATTTGTTTAGGATTTGTTTCAGATTCCTAGCACGATTGTCCCACTCGTCAATTTCTTCTTGTTCATCCTGCAGAATTTCTTGCTTCTTCGCCTCCGTGGCTAGATCAAGTTGTTCACGACGTTTCTGATATGCGGCGGCATGCTAAATATGTACGTAATTATTTAATTAATTAATTAAAGTCAGAATCATTACTTAGTATTTTGTCTCTCCTGCAATACTTCACAAATAAGTTTACGACGGCACTAAGTATGCTTCATGTTCTTACCATGGCGAATGTAGTTGAGTTGGGATGCGAAGTGTTGGACCCCATTTGTTCCAGAAGCGAGATCCAGTCCAGGAGATGCTTTGTTTCATACTAATCTTTAGACAAGTTGAGTTTATGTTTGTTTCCGCGTAATCAGAATGGTTCAATCATTATCAGTGCTTGCTTATTATTTATTCAATTGATGTAAATATTTACACATACCGTAAATACTGTATTTATTGCCGGGGCTAAAATCTAAAACCGCTTGTCATAGACCAGGCTGTAAATAATCTGGTATTAAACATTACCGAAAAGCACAAGTATATGACTCTACAAAAGTTGTAATGATAAGTTGCACCGTGTGGCAATGGCTTGGTAATAAAGTTTTACCATCATGGTAACGAATTTTTACTACCTGGTAAAACAGTATTACTAAATTTGTTACCGAGAAATCATTACCTGCGTGACTTTACCGGATTATTAAGAGTGTAGAGAACGGATATACTGAGAGACCCGGCTAAATTTTGTTCCATCCTAGTTTTACACTCAAAATAAGGTAATGAATTATTACCATGCGGAATGACTTGTATGTGTCTCTACCACGTCGGTTACGATTTGTCGTAGAAATGGTAATAATAATTTCAGGGGAATTCAAATTTAATACATAATGGTATTCACTTTTTTAGTATTTGGTAATGAATTTGAATTTCCCTGGAATTATTCTTACCGTTTCTACGACAAATTGTAACTAACGTGGTAGAGACACATAGTCATTCTGCATGGTAATGATTCATTACTACCTTATTTTGAGTGTAGATATTATGCAATCGCGACGCGATAAGCGCGTATAAATAATTCTAACCCAATTTTTAGCTTTCCGGTATGTATGCCATCGTTAAACAGTTGAATATACATACGTCTTTCAAACACATTTTGTAGGTTTTTTTAAAATTTGTTATGATAATTATGTTATGATCTGTATATAAATTTTTAGTCAAATTAAGTGAATGAGCTTTGTAAATTTTAACCTTATTCGTGGATTAACTGAATATGCAGCATTCTTCTTGAACGGGCTATGAACGGGGATACAGCTGACAAGACTGGTCATAATTAGAGACCCGGCTAAAATCTTGGTCTCTAGACCCGGCTATACATAATTAGAATAAGGCTATAGATAGAAATTTTACGGTATGTAATTTTTTCCCGTTCAAAAGTTACTCATCCCGATTTCAGGGTTAGGATTTTATCATTCACATTTGAGTATATTGTCATTTTCGTTCAAACTTATTTCATTTCACTTTGTCGGACATCATTTCTTAATTCCTCCCATGTGTTCAAGATAAGGTGAAAACGAAAGGAGTGAGAAATCACCTGCATTCATCCGAAATGACTGAAGCCTTCAGTCAATTTCATACAGTCAAGTCCAAATTTGTATACGCATCGCAACACAAAACAATTTTCGGAATTGTCCGACTATTACAAGGAAATGATAAACAATTTCATACATATGTATTAGGGGGTGTCCATAAATTACGTAGCGCGACAGGAGGAACGGGGGGGAGAGGCTCTAAGGCTCAAATTATATGCATTGTGCATATGTTACACATGTTAAAGGGGGGTCTAGAAGAGGCCGATTTTTTCCTTACGTGATCCATGGACAGCCCCTAATCAATATCGATTCAATTGCAATCTGCTCACTAATGTACACGTTTCCGATTAAGGTACAAGTTCCAATTTGGTATCAATTAGAAGCAAAAGCCCTTAATAATTGAGGACGGATTAACGTGCCTAATTTTCTACTGGCTCAATTATTTAGCTTAAAGTACGTAAATGCATAGAAACTAATGAAAGTAATGAGGGTATTCATTTCGAGTTCGAATCGTTAGCAATGTTGGCAAAAAAATAAAGCTCGCAAGTTTGCAAAAATTTTTTACTTGAAAATTGATTTGCGAACTTAGTGGTTAGTTCGCAGAATATTTTTCACACATTTTGCAAATGAGAGGAGCCCCTGAATCCGTATTGGTTACCGAAGTTTGGCTATGTGAACCAGGGTTGCAGAAATCTCATCTCACCTTCACAAATCTCATCTCACTGAGATATACATAATGGGAAATAGTGAGACATGAGAAATATGAGAAATAGTGAGATTTGTGAGCTATGCACTAGCGCCATCTAGCGGACGGGGTCATGAACTACAAGTTTATCTCATTATTTCTCATATTTCTCAATCAGCCCCAAGTGAGATGATTGATATATATCATTAAATCTCACTAAATCTCGCTCAGTGATATACGTATATCACTTGTAACCCTGATGTAAACCTTTGCAATTTCATATTTGGTAAATTTCAGACACAAAACTTCGGTAATTAATGGAGATTTAAGAATTTTTCTAATTCGAGACATTTGAACTAAATTCTCAGGACTTTGTCATCTGCGAAGTGCCATCAGTTCGTTATTTCGCAAAATTCGCAATTTTGAAAAAGTTATGTTACGATGCGAACATTCGAACTCGTAATGAATACCCTCAATGATTATTGATCACGTTTCGACGAATCAAATAAGTAAGTTCCAGATACATACTTTTCAGCAAATTTCAGCAACCATATTGCTAAATGTTTCACCCAAGTCACGATTTCACATGTTTGTCTCTATTGAAATTCAAATTTCGAAATGTTCTCCACCATATTTTTCAAATCGTTTCAAACCCAACTGAAAATTTGTAACTTTTTCTGTATAAATCCATTCCACTTGAGAGATAAGAAACTACACGTGATCAGAATTCCGTGGTGGAGGGTGTACTTTTACCGAGTTCAACTCCTTCTTGTTACTCTCTACACGGTCGGAACACTGAAATGGATCCTGTTCGAAAAGGATGAATTTCTCGTGAAAGCACAAACCGTCGGAATAATTGGTGTGTACACCGGATTGGAAATTATGATTTGGAACTGGAACGTGAATGAGGGTCCGATCCAGTTCTGGAATAGTGCGGTATTACTGGAGGAGAGGATCCTAGCTGGTAAAAATAATCGATATTGATATATACATAACTTATGTAACAGATCAGAGGGCGGATAAGTATTTATAATTTTTTCAATTGGTGACAACGGACGGAAAGACTTTGTGGTGTTGGCTAAACTATTATGTAAGAGAAAAATTTGCCAAAAATTTAAGTTTTATAAACATTTCAACTATTGTTGGATACATTTGCGTTTTTTTTAAATATATTTTAAAAATATTCATATTTGGTAAATATTTCAACAATGTAAGATGAAATTTGTTTCCTCCGAAATATCAAATTTGCGAAAATTCTTATTGTTGTGGTACAGATTTCCCAAATATTAAATACATATTTACATTTAAGCGATTCTGTATAAATACATATTCGTCCTCTGATCACAATATGTAACTCAAATTATGTAAATTAGAAACCTCGCCCCCAGAAGTGCAAACCGTGCAGGACAAGATATCCGTTAAATTCGTGAAATACTTGGTGTACACCCTCAATTTTATGACTACACCATCATTTCCTTTGCTAAATATGGGACTGGTTTTGAACAATTGGTGCCAACGACCATATTTTGGGTCAATGACGCCACTCTGCAATGCGGAAGGTGTTTGGCTTGGGTCACATGGTGTTAATTATTTATGGACTGCGGTACTCGGGATGGAGATGTGGTTAAATGTCGTGTTCGTTTATGGCGGGGGATTCTACTTGTTTAACCTCTACTTCCCGGGAATTGCGTGTTTCTTGGAATACATCGATCTTCTTTGGTATGAAAAAATAATATTTATATGGGAGTATGGATTTAGTATGAGCAGGTTGAAATCAGTGTTTCTGCTGTTAAATAACACCTGCACGAAAATAGTGCACGAAAAAGTTTTTAAACGTTTAATAACACCCACTAAAAATCCGAAAAAGTGCATAAAAATGCACGAAAATGCACGAAAATAATTTACATGCAAATAATATTGGAATAATGCAATTTTTCTAAATATTCGATTAACTGAGGAATCAACGTGTATTTAAGATATTTTCCGCATCATCTTAGTATTTTAGTGTAAAAATATTTTTCATTTTTCAATCCAAAAAATGAATTAAAGTTTTGAAAATGAAAATGAATGAACATGACGATTTTTATGTACGGTTGAATACACGCTTGCAAAACAAATACTTGTAATTTGTTTGAAATTTTCTTGCCGAATAATAATTTCATGATATTCGATATGCGTACAAATTCCAATTTGACAGAGTAGGAAAATATGAAATTTCCTTAAAATATGAAATTCCTTGCATAAGTTACATTTCATATATTATTATGCATTTTCATGCATTTTCGTGCATTTTTATGCGTTTTTATGCATTTTTATGCATTTTTATGCACCGTGCATGCATAAAAATAATTTCGTGCGCACAAAAAGAAACACTGGTTGAAATACAAGTGACAAAATGTGGACAAGCATATGTATGTACGAAACGGACAAAATACGGACGATAGAAATCTGGATATTGTTTTGAAACGTAGAGTGATCCAACATACGTAACTACAAATTTCTTTACGAAATTTACTTCAAGTCTAGGCATTATGTCCACATTTTGTCTGCTTGTGTTTATATTTATACTGTCCACATCTAGAGTATTCCAATTTTTTGTAAAAAATTTGAACTCCATGGTCTACGTTTTGTCCGGCTGCCTATATTAATTCCCGGACCCATAATATCAAGAAATACTAACTAACCAAATTTTGTAATTTCTTAAACTAACAAGTACATACATAAGTATGTAAGGAAATTTTCTGAATTTCTTTCCATGTATTTGACAGGAATTCCGCCTCCCCAAATGCAGTGACAAGCTCACACATTAGAAACAGGATAACGCAATACCGTCGAATTCACATACTCGAAAAGATGTTCAATTCCTACATCGGAAACACGTGCATTCCCTACATGATGGGAATACTCCCGGCCATCCAAATATTCGCGGTGTACGGATGCATCCAATTTTATCCGGTCGTCGAAATGCCGCAATATCTCATTTTCCCCTTAATGGCGGTGGACGCTTTCTTATGCAACGCAACCTCCGCAACGTTGTCATCCTTCATAAATATGGAATCCGAGCACTTCCTGACAAAATGCAAAAACTTGAATTCGCGAAAATTAGTAGGAACGAAGACTGGCATGATTTCGAGAGAGGTGAAGGCCTGTTCTGCACTCAAAATTCGGTTCGGAAGCAACTACATCGATTCCGGTACGCCCCTCATGATTCAGCATTTCTGTTGGGTACAAACCCTGCAAATGTTGATGATTATGTCAAAGTGGTGATTAGATTAAGTAATTGCAGAAATAAAATATTTATTTCACCCAATCAAACAAATGTACCTATTCGTATTTAAGTAATTATTAAGTAAATTAAGCTTTTTGGCGTTTGACACAACTTTTTAAGTGATTTCATTTCATAAAGGTCGTCGTCCATTTTCCATGTCGTCATCAATTTTGACCTGAAATTAACGATGAAATTTCTCTTTAGTACACGAGTTTTGGAGTTTTTTCCCTTTGGTGACAATACATCTCTCTAATCATTACCCAAAAACAGGGAACTATTGTACCTCCGCGAGTGAAGGTTTGTCTACAAATTATTTAGAGTGCCACACCAATTACTGTACAACAGTCTACGTAATGAAATCCATTAATCTAATCATTTCAATCATGATTACTATCAATTTAACTATCATTTAACTGTCAATTTATTTCCAAGCACAATCTTCGTCCATGTTACAGAGAAATTCATATCTTAACTAAACTCAAAAACAAACATATTCTTATAATCACATAAATTCACGTCGCATGTATGTACATAACTGCATACTCATGTTTTGTCCCCATTTTGAAATTGCATCAATACAATCAAATTCGTTGTCACGGTTCCAACGATCTGAAATTATTTTAATAAAATTAATTTAATACACCCATTTAGCCTTTGTAAGTATAAATTAATTAATTTATGGTCTGGCTTTTTTATTATGACCCGTTTTTATAGGAAAAACTTATGCCGCGCACTCTCCTATTATTAAAAAAAATGAGAGATACCATCAAATGTTTTTATAATTACATTTAATTTCATAATTACTTCTTTTGTACATACAATAAACAAAAAAAGTGTATAATTTAATTGACAGACTATAAAAATTCTGTTCATCAAGAACATATAATGTGTATTATAAGCAACTAGTGTAGAAGCCCGTCAATTGACGTGCAAAATAGGCCCGTCGATAAGCCCAATATTAGTGAAGTTAGCCTCTCCTGTTCTCTCTGCAGAGGGGAGAGAGAAAAGGACAGGCTAACTTCTCAACTAAGCCACCGACCCAGCCAGCAGCGATACACTCGCCTGCTTTATATAGTTTAGATGATTCAAAATTAAAACTTACTGGAGTAATCAGGCCAAGATTCACTCTAAAATAATCCGTGTCCAAATAAATCTTCCTCAACTTTGGGTGACGCGGTCTAAAAAGGAAGCTGCCATACAATTTCTCACTTTCCCCGAATCCATTTTCACAAATTTTAATAAAATCGCCACTCCCGCCTTCTAGTTGAGACCCCTTTTTGCAAATCATAAACAGGAAATAAAAATACCCCACCACCGTGAAAACGTCGGAGATCATTCCCCTCACATTGCGAACTGGCTCGGAAGCAAACGACGCTACAAAGTAGGCACAAAATACGATCCGCATCACACTGTGTGCCATGTCGATGACAATACAGGTTCCGAACAATCGGACGAAGGAGGACACGTTATCGCTTAATCGGTGATACAATTGGATTTTCATTTCAACCAGGGCAAAGTTGGACGAATTGATCAGCCCGCGTAGAATTTCTACGTACCAGTTGAGAAAGAAAGTGAGGAGAAACGGGAAGATGGCGTGAACGTAGCCCAGCATCGGGGGAATTACGATCACCAGGCTGGACGTCAAAGAGGCTAAAGTATAATTTCATTGTTAAAACATCATACGACCCGGTTTAATAGACACATGACGTGGATTTACAATTTAATCTCATACATTTTTGGTATCAGATAAAAATTACGTACGAGACAATGGAGGTACCTCGGCGTATGCTCACCGATTTTGATATTTTCATCGTTTAAATATGTAATAGACAGCCCGCAATAGGCTGGACATGAAAAAGTACCTTATTTAAACAATCAAACCATAGTGTCAATCTGCCAAAAATTTAATTATTTATATAATCTAATATGCTGTTTGCATTCGATGAGGTGAAGCCGCACAGTAAATTTGGAAAGTGCGTACAATTTGTCAACTTTTAGTCGCGTTTTCTCCTCTTTGGATGCTAGACTGGTGATCGAGCCGTTCTAAAATTTCACACTAGTAAAATTTGTGATTGATTGAAACGGGTTTGGTATGAAAAAATCTTAGAGCATATGCTGGGAAATCTCCCTTCTTCGATTGTAAGTATTTACCTGCTCTATCCGACAGATATCCTTCCCACATGTCTGCCGTTAGTATGATGAACGAAATACAAAGAATAATCAACTCCACGCGCAATCTTCCTTCGCTTCTGGTGCTGATTATTCCAACCGATTTTGTTTTATCAGAAGAAAGCGCCGCTTGACTGGAAAAACTTGACCATTGTTCCACTAAAGTTTTGAATTCTCCAAAAAACTGCGTAACTTGTTCCCTCTTTAAGAAAATTGTTGCCCGAACGAAAACAATTGTAAAAATGTGAACAGCCCCCTTAATTATGACGGTAGAATGGAACGTGCTAGTCGCTAATTGTCGGCCACCCCTTGTTACACCCTTTTTTGAAGAGTCGTCCGTTAAGTGGGAAATTATTACAAATATGTTCCCAAGACCCAGCAGGCAAAATAATATTGTTGGAAGAGTGGAAATATATTTCCATTTTTTGGTGAGATTGAGATTGATTTGAGATACTCGCAATACCTCGGTGTCCATTTTTGAGGGAAGAATTATTACCTATTGTAGCTTTAGATGGTTTCGTCAAGGTTACAATTTTATGTTTGAGAGAATAAAAATTAGCTGTTAGTTTGAAAAGCTAAAGGGAATAAATTTATTTGTATAGATCACACAATTTACTAAATTCATCAAGGCAAATATTTGCTGGTATGATTGGTTTTTATTAAAATTATTTAGATTATATACATTATATACATTACTATGTATGTATCAAGTAATTTCATTACACTAATGTAATAATTACACACATATGTACATAGATATCTATATACGTCATTTCTCCTCCAAAGAATGAGCATTGCAGTGCAATGTGGAAATGTTGCTGCAATTTTGGGATCGCTTCCAGCCGGACGAGGACTGGATGAAATATTTTTATTTTAGTGTAGACGACAATATAGGTTAGGTTTTTTTTAAATTTCAGACAGGGACAACATGCATTGTAAGGCGCTGGTCGTTTAGCCTTTTTCTAACTCTAATAATGTATGTATAATGTAAATATGTCGAACTGTCATTTTGATTCCACGTTGCAAATTTGGAATAAGTGTTCACATTCCAGAAAAAAAATACCTATATACATATGTATGTATCTACATAGATAAATAGATATAAATAGTCTGGATATATAGGTATGTTTAAATGGATTATTACTAAAACCTCTAATCGGCTAACGAAGCTTTAATGCTAGTTACGTACCTATGTGCATGTATGCAAAATACATATGTACATACACGTCACCGCTTCTTTCAATAAATTAACCACTTTATCGATAAACCATTTGAAATCTTAACATCATGACTATCATTGTGCATATGTACATACGTGTTTCTAAATGGTTTATGGAATCAGCCTAGTGAGTAGATTTCAACTGGGAAAACTTGGCTTCTCCTAAATACAGTATACAAAAATAGGGATGACAAACTTCCCTTATTTTCTAAATGGTTGCATTAGATTTATGTAGCTTAGTTTATGTCGTATTTCGACACAAGCACGAATAAAAAATGGATAGTACTAAATCACAAAATAATTAACGAATTGTGTTATTAATCAGGTCGTAATTTATTTTTAAAGGCCTGAATCAACTAAAAATTTAATGTGCTATTCTATTCAGATACATAAACAAACGCAGATAATGTACGAACTTAAAAACATTTTTGATCTACAATAGTTGGCCCAACTTCGTCATACACGGACCTCAAGATCCATTTGCTTTGAAAAGCTGTCAAAGAACCTTGCACTGATCCTCCGATCCAAACAGAATTCACGTTCTGGCGGAGAAATTATGCTGACTTGCACAGATTTCGGTGCTAATCCCATTACTTCGTTTTTAAGACGGTCAACAAATCCAGGCAGCATAGTTGTACCTCCGGATAAGATAATACTCTCGTACAAGTCCTGCAAAATAAATTTACATCGGAAACATGGAAACCAGTCATAAATTTTCATACTAATATGTTTATATTTACTTATTTACCTTACGGATATCCTGGTCACACTTGAGTATCGAGGCATGAATCATGTCATGAATTCCATCGCTCGAAATTTCCAACAAACCGGGATTGAAAAGAGATTTGGAACTGCGGAATCGCTCCTCTCCAATCGTTATGATCTCCCCATCCGGAAGTTGATAAGATTTCGCAAGCGAGCTTGTTGCCATTCCTGTTTCTTGATCAAAATCAGCCGCAACATAACAAAACTTTTCTTTAATATCACGAACGGTTTCTCGATTCCCGACTGAGATAAGGTCTGGGTATCCATTCTCGGCTAACATCCCCGCCAAGTAATCGGTCAAATCGCGGCCGGCAAAGTTCGAACGGTGCATTGCATGGGGAACTGCATACCCGTCGTACACTGGGAGTATTTGAGTGACACCGTCACCACAATCTAGTACAATACCGGTCGTTCGGCCAGCCGCATATAGAGATAGGACGCAAGGATTCGATACATAAATTGATCTGGATACAGAAACGAAAAGCAAAAATGCATAAAGGGATGTGGTTAAACAGTTCGAAACATATTTACCTTCAAGGGTCATATTATGGCATGAGTTAAAGTCAAAACTACAGTTTAACGAATTCTTGGTAAGAGGCACATAAACGAAGGGTCACTGTAAATTTGAAGCTCGAAACTTACGGTATATTAAATGTCTCAAACATTATTTCTGTCATCTTCTCCCGATTGTGCTTGGGATTCATGCCAGCTTCGGTGAGGAGGAAGGCATGTTCATTAGCTGAGATGCGGAGATCATTTTCAAACAGATATCTCCAAATTTTCTCCAGATCATCCTACGCAAAAATATATTTGTCCACATTTCCCTAGATTACTTACATACCAATAATTAGAAATAGACCTAGGATTTGATACCTCTTTCTAATTAGACCTACATATACCCAATTCTAAAATTATCATGCGTCAATAATCATTTAACTACATAGATTCTATTCAAAATCTCAGTTTGCTTTTAAATATGTAAATAATTAATTATTTACAATTTTAGAATCAAGTGACATATGTAAATCCAAATGCGTAATAGTTTTCACTGTCCCGTTAGGGTGTTAGCATAAGTACCACTTAAATGTGTTATATATATGGACTTGCATACAAAACGTAGACTGTCGCACTTACCCAGTTTATGACAACTCCGTGCTCAATTGGATACTTTAAAGCCAACATTTCTCTTTTCGATACAGCTTCATTTCCAACGTATTCTGTTTGACAAGAACAAAATTTATGAACGTATTAAATTTTTTACGTTTTAACAATGATTCGTCTTAGGAGGAGAGCTTCACTACCGGCAAATCTCAAATTTTGATGTCCTTTAAATATATGGTTGTGTCCTGTGAGTGTACTAAAACCCTGACGTGGTTTCACTCCATGGCCACATTTGCACACGCCTCTCCCACTCTAAGGGAGGAGAACCACTAAAATTACCAACTTCAAAAATCCAATGTTACTCTGATTTTGATAAAATTTGCAATCCCAGATACATGCGTGATAATATCCATACAATTTTTGGTGGTTCCACTGCTGATGAATTATTCGAAAAAATTCAAAATTTCAAAAAAGTTGAGATTGCTACTGGATATGATAAAACAAATATATGGGATTACAAAAATGTAAATTCAATCAAAAACCGAGCAAAATTGGATTTGTGGTGGATTTTAGAAGTTGATAACTTTTGTGGTTTTCATCCATTTGAATGGTGTGGCCGGCGCAAATGTAGCCATGGAGTCAAACCACTTCAGGGTTTTAGTACATTCATGGGACCCTACCACATATCCAAAGGACATCGACATCTGAGATTTACAGGTGGCGAAGCTCCCCTCCTTAGTAAAGTAAAATGCCCATAAGCTTCATAAGCTTCATAATGCAATTAGGTGTGGGTGGGTGGTCGAAACCTAATGATGGCATGCCCACACATGTTACAAGGGAGTGGATGGGAATAAAGTTGTGAAATAATGACTTCCCAAATAATCACACCTGCTATGCTGGATGTCTAAAAAAATCAAAAAGTAGGTAGCACTTTATTCCACTGTTATTCACAAAATAACTCAGGGGCCGTTCATAAACTATGTAACGCTAAAATCGCATATTTTTACCCCACCCTCCCTCCCTCGTAACGCTTGTGTGACGCATCGAGGTCCGACCCCCCCCCCCCTCCCCCATAACGTCACGGAAAATCTCAAATTCCCCACTAGCTCTAAGAACTTTATGTTGACACTATTATGGTTTCACTCCAGCTTGACACCCCTGTTTGAATTTGAAAACCGCCCGCCAGTGTGAGAAGGGAGGGTG